TCATACACTCACTCACACACTCACACACTCACTCATACACTCACTCACACACTCACTCACACACTCACTCACTCACACACTCACTCACACACACTCACACACTCACTCACTCACTCACACACTCACTCACACACTCACACACTCACTCACTCACACACTCACTCACTCACACATTCACACATTCACTCACTCACTCACACACTCACTCACACACTCACACACTCACTCACTCACACACTCACACACTCACTCACTAACACACTCACTCACACACACTCACACACTCACTCACTCACTCACACACTCACTCACACACTCACACACTCACTCACTCACATACTCACACACTCACTCACTCATATACTCACTCACACACTCACTCATACACTCACTCACACACTCACTCATACACTCACTCACACATTCACTCACTCACACACTCACTCACTCACTCACACATTCACTCACTCACACACTCATACACTCACTCACACACTCACACACTCATACACTCATACACACACTCACACACTCACTCACACACTCACTCACTCACACACTCACTCACACACCCACTCACACACTCACTCACTCACACACTCACTCACACACTCACACACTCACTCACTCACACACTCACACACTCACTCACTCACACATTGACTCACTCACTCACACACTCACTCACACACTCACACACTCACTCACTCACTCACACACTCACACACTCACTCACTCACACACTCACTCACACACACACTCACACACTCACTCACTCACTCACACACTCACTCACACACTCACACACTCACTCACTCACACACTCACACACTCACTCACTCATATACTCACTCACACACTCACTCATACACTCACTCACACACTCACTCATACACTCACTCACTCACACACTCAACAACTCACTCTCATACACTCACTCACACACACACTCATACACTCACTCACACATTCACTCACTCACACACTCACTCACTCACACATTCACTCACTCACACACTCATACACTCACTCACACACTCACACACTCACTCATACACTCACTCACACACTCACTCACACACTCACTCACTCACACACTCACTCACACACACTCACACACTCACTCACTCACACACTCACTCACTCACACACTCACTCACACACTCACACACTCACTCACTCACACACTCACACACTCACTCACTCACACATTCACTCACTCACTCACTCACACACTCACTCACACACTCACACACTCACTCACACACACTCACACACTCACTCACTCACTCACACACTCACTCACACACTCACACTCACTCACTCACACACTCACACACTCACTCACTCACACATTCACACATATCACTCACTCACACACTCACTCACACACTCACACACTCACTCACTCACACACTCACACACTCACTCACTCACACACTCACTCACACACACACTCACACACTCACTCACTCACTCACACACTCACTCACACACTCACACACTCACTCACTCACATACTCACACACTCACTCACTCATATACTCACTCACACACTCACTCATACACTCACTCACACACTCACTCATACACTCACTCACACATTCACTCACTCACACACTCACTCACTCACTCACACATTCACTCACTCACACACTCATACACTCACTCACACACTCACACACTCACTCATACACTCACTCACACACTCACTCACACACTCACTCACTCACACACTCACTCACACACACTCACACACTCACTCACTCACACACTCACTCACACACTCACACACTCACTCACTCACACACTCACACACTCACTCACTCACTCACACACTCACACACTCACTCACTCACACACTCACTCACACACACACTCACACACTCACTCACTCACTCACACACTCACTCACACACTCACACACTCACTCACTCACACACTCACACACTCACTCACTCATATACTCACTCACACACTCACTCATACACTCACTCACACACTCACTCATACACTCACTCACTCACACACTCACTCATACACTCACTCACACACACACTCATACACTCACTCACACATTCACTCACTCACACACTCACTCACTCACACATTCACTCACTCACACACTCATACACTCACTCACACACTCACACACTCACTCATACACTCACTCACACACTCACTCACACACTCACTCACTCACACACTCACTCACACACACTCACACACTCACTCACTCACACACTCACTCACTCACACACTCACTCACACACTCACACACTCACTCACTCACACACTCACACACTCACTCACTCACACATTCACTCACTCACTCACACACTCACTCACACACTCACACACTCACTCACTCACTCACACACTCACACACTCACTCACTCACACACTCACTCACACACACACTCACACACTCACTCACTCACTCACACACTCACTCACACACTCACACACTCACTCACTCACACACTCACACACTCACTCACTCATATACTCACTCACACACTCATTCATACACTCACTCACACACTCACTCACACACTCACTCACACATTCACTCACTCACACACTCACTCACTCACTCACTCATTCACTCACTCACACACTCATACACTCACTCACACACTCACACACTCACTCATACACTCACTCACACACTCACACACTCACTCACACACTCACTCACTCACACACTCACTCACACACACTCACACACTCACTCACTCACTCACACACTCACTCACACACTCACACACTCACTCACTCACACACTCACACACTCACTCACTCACACATTCACTCACTCACTCACACACTCACTCACACACTCACACACGCACTCACTCACTCACACACTCACACACTCACTCACTCACACACTCACTCACACACACACTCACACACTCACTCACTCACTCACACACTCACTCACACACTCACACACTCACTCACTCACACACTCACACACTCACTCACTCATATACTCACTCACACACTCACTCATACACTCACTCACACACTCACTCATACACTCACTCACACATTCACTCACTCACACACTCACTCACTCACACATTCACTCACTCACACACTCATACACTCACTCACACACTCACACACTCACTCATACACTCACTCACACACTCACTCACACACTCACTCACTCACACACTCACTCACACACACTCACACACTTCGGGGTGGGGGGGGTCACTCGTGCGGAACTCAATGTGTGTGACCTGCCCACCCGCGTGGCGGGCAATCAACTCACAACGCAAAGGGGCGTCTCCTTTGCGTTACGCCTCGTGCGACACCAAGCTGCACGAGAGCCTCGTCGTAGTCGCGCTGGGGTCGTGGATGGCGGGGGGAGCTATTTGATTTCTAGTTCATCATATTATTATGTTTTATTTTTATTATTTTATTATTTCCCTTCTACGTGACTTTACCGAAAGAACCAAGAATATGTCGTGAGAATGGTTTTATATTTATTATTAAATTTTTTTCCCTTCTACGTGGCTTTACCGAAAGAACCACGAATATGTCGTGAGAATTGTTTTATTTTTATTATTTTATTTTTTTCCTTCTACGTGACTTTACCGAAAGAACCAAGAATATGTCGTGAGAATTGTTTATTATTTTTATTATTGAATTTTTTCCTTTCTACGTGACTTTACCGAAAGAACCAAGAATATGTCGTGAGAATGGTTTTATATTTATTATTAAAATTTTTTCCCTTCTACGTGGCTTTACCGAAAGAACCACGAATATGTCGTGAGAATTGTTTTATTTTTATTATTTTATTTTTTTCCTTCTACGTGACTTTACCGAAAGAACCAAGAATATGTCGTGAGAATTGTTTATTATTTTAATTATTGAATTTTTTCCCTTCTACGTGACTTTACTGAAAGAACCAAGAAGATTCATCAACGCTGTTCAGCGCGGGTTGTGATGGCAGGGAGCCGTTGCCTCTTTGACGAGCCTCCTTTGGTTTAGAAACTCGGCGAGTGCCTAGCGACAGCATTGAGCGCCTTTGCGAGTGAGACCTGCCATTCGCAATGGTGACATTAACCAAATATAATGCAACGTGCTGTAATTAACCATTTAAAAGCCCTTTCCAAACCGCTGCTGCATGAAAGCCTTTCTTGTGCTGTTTCACTCGTAGATGTTCGATTATTCTTGGTCATCTTCTTGGTTCCTTCGGTAAAGTCACGTAGAATGGAAATAATAAAATAATTAAAATAAAACATAATAAAATAATTCTTACGACGTTTCGGCCACAACGCAAGCAGCCGTCCTCAGGTGAAGAAACAGGTCTGTCGAGAAGACAGCGTCTAAAGAACCAAGAAGATGAATCCCTGCAGTCACGAAAGCTTTAAATCGAGATTCTTGGTCAGTTTGGGTTGGTGAAGGATTGATCCACGACCAGATTAGATGTCGCTCCGCTGTTGCTGTTAGCCGTGACCGGGATTCAAAGTCAGGCTGGCGGGTTCACAGGGCAGTGCGCCAACCACTACAACACCAGTTCAACACGTAGTAGGATTTCGTGACAAATATGATTAATTCTAGAGGTTTTTTTTTTTGGGGGGGGGGGGGGTTTAGATATCGTGAATATAAATGTGTCGTTAAACCCGCCACCACCCGACACAGCCAATTAGCAAGCGTTGTCACGCACACAGAACGTGCTAATTAGTTCAGCAACACCGGCGCAAAAGAATCCCGTGGACAGCACAAACGGCACGTGAACAATGCAAAAGTGTCCGAGACATCGCAGAGAGACCTTGCACGTGTTTGCAAAGTGAAGCGCCCGTTGCTGACACCGTCACGCACCGAAGGCCTCGGGGCCGATCCTGTGCTCGTGTTGTTTTCGTGTTTTCGTGTGTGTCCATTGCTCGTGCTCGTGTCTAAATTTCCCCGTTGCTTTGGAGTAAACATTTGCCCTGCTCTGTTGTGCCCCCCCCCCCCCCTCCCCATGCCTTCTCTTCCAGAGACCTGAGGTTCAACCGGATCAGGGAGCTGCCCGTTGGGACTTTCCGTGGCCTCAAGGACCTCACCACCCTGTGCGTCCCTGTCTCCTACCGCTCGTCACCAACGATGCCTGCGTTGTGCAGTGGACATAGTCAGCCACGACGATGCATGCGTCCTGCTGATAAGCTCGAGCTGATGTGTTTGTTTAAACAGACTCAGGTCCGGTAACTGTAATGGACTCGAGGTTGAGTCCTGCGCAGTATGTGCTAACTGTCCTGGTTGTTCAGTAGGGGAGCGATCGCTTGCAATCGCATTGTTGCACGTTCAAACCTTGGTTGGTGGTTGACTCAGCCCATCATCATTTTTTGGGGTCCATAAAGTGAGTACCACTTTGTGGAGAAGTCAACGGTGGTTGCCTCAGAGCTGCAAATGAGCACTGTCCCAATATTTGTCTGAGAAAGAAATAACTTTGACTTCTGACTTTGCTTACGAAGGTTAAGCTAAATACACGACAACAACATTTGGCACTAGCAAGTAAGTGACGTTGACACCACTGCGGCAATTGTGCCAGGCTGGGTACGTCTTGACGCCGCATTAAATGTCAAAGGCTCATTGGCAGGAGGTCACGGGACAGACGCAGGTGTTACGGGTGTTATGATTTATAGCCTTGAACAGATTGTTGGGGCAAGTGTTGTTAGCGAGCCCTTATGGATCGCCAGCACGACGCCCGACCGCCTTTGTCTCCCCAGTGGCGATGTTTACATACCGCACCAGGTACTCATTTGAGGCTGAGTCGACCTACGGGAGGCTTAGGACCGGTTCAGATATTCGTCACCAGTGTTGGCCATGATCGGGAATCAAACCCGGGTCGCGGGGTTCGTAGCGCAGCGCGCTGACTGCTACACTACAGCTCCCTACACCGTTAAATGCACACGCTCACACGCTCACACACACACGCGTGGACACATGGACACACAAACCCAGACACACACACCGACAGACATTCCTTCAGCGTTCTCAAAAATGTTCGTAGCAGGAGCGCCAGCCAAAGCACACGACACTGCTCATTAAGATTCAGCAGCACAGAACCATTTCACATTAATACTGCTCGCCTTCTGCTGCGGCAGTTTCAAACTTGGAATGCGAGTTGCTTCTCTGCATCACTGTACGTACGTGGAACTTCTGTGCTGATCGGGGATGCGGGGGCTAAGGACATCAAACTGAACACAGCAACAAGCAGTTCTGAACAAAATGAGTTTTCAACCGAGATGATTTCAATTGTGCACGGCTCCAGTGGCTTGCTAATGTCGGAAGGAAGAGCGTTCCAGACGGCCGCAGAAGCGCATCTGAAAGCGTGCAGTGCGGCGAGACCGTCTGTCACCGTCGTGCTCACGGGTGCATGTTATTTTGTGGAAATGTTCACCAACAGGCGTGGACTGCGAACGGTAGTTTGCTTCGTTGGACAGCTTGACGTTTCACTTTTTTTTTTCAATGCGTATGAGGAATTCTTGCAAATTCACCGACACGTTGTGAAACCCACATGATGTTTTCCGTCATTGAAAAATGTTGGTTCTCATCCATCGCATCCTGTTTCAACGAGTGCAACTCTCTGCTCTGTGGTCTCCGCAAATCCCTCACCTCAAAACGCCAATTCATCCAAAATGTCGCCGCCAAGAGTCCTCAGCCACCCCCATGAACGAGGCCACGTTGCTCCACTCACGCACATCCCGCCCAATGGCTCCCGATACTAACCCCGAATACATTGTAAAGATCGCACTCACCGCCTACAAGATCCTCCATGACCCTCCCCCCTGATTACCTCTCTCCCCTCATCTCCGCTCTCCTGTCCCCCGGCACGCACTCCGATAATCATGATCACGGCTGGCTACGTGCGAACGAAGTTCAACATCCATCCGTAGACTCTGTTTCCCCAACACTCAGGCTTTCTGTCGAAACCCCCACGCAACCTTTGCTCACTGGGAGGTCGCTCATCCTCCTCTGCTGCCCCCCCCGCCCCCCCCGCCCCCCGTCATCTGAAACTCCATCCCACCAGCCACGCGTGCTGTTGGCTCCCTGCTCCTCTTCAAGTCCAGGCTCAGGGCCTGCTCGAGGCGGACCTCCCTCTCTCTCTCTCTGACATGTTCCCACGGTGTCTGTATCTTGAGATGTGGTCGCATTTAGGCGTTATATAAGTCCACACTGTATTTATTCTGTGACTTCTATGTAGCTATGAGGCCAGGTCTGGGAGTGTTGTAGCAAGTGCCCCATCCCCGCAATGTGAAGATTGAACATTTATACTCTTTGGTTGTTTCGGTAAAATCGCGTAGATAGGAAATTATTAATAGATCACAACGTTTCCATCGCAACCGTCTTCAGGTGAGAGAGAGACAAAGCTACTGGAACAAGGTCTTACGTAGACGGTCGCTTGTGTGGTGATCGAAACGTCGTGATCTATTAATAATTTTCTACCCACGTGACTTTACCCAATCAACCAAAGAGCCACGCAAGCTTCAAATCAAGATTGAACATTGAATCCCCGATGGTCGCCAACTCAGCTCATCATTCCTCCGCCGCTAATGAACAAAATGAGTACGCCGTGGGAAGTCAACGTTGTCCTTGCTGTGATGAGATCAGCTCCCCACCACGGGAATTGTGTTATTCCCACCACCGGCTCGGAGTCGCCAAGTATCGAGCGACTGCCCTCGCACGGCCGCGTTGGCCACGTGCACGGCTGCTTTGGTGACAAAAATAATTAACGCAAACGTCCGTCAAGTGACGTGCGTATATTCGTGAACAATTAAATGTTAAAATTTAGTTTGCAACGACCGTGAGTGGTGACTATGACCAGTCACGGGCTGCTGGAGACCAAAGCGCAACCGACCATGCTGAGACGAAATTAACGAGTCTGAATGGAGAGACTGTCACGAAGGTCATTGAGAAACGTTATCAGAGATTACGGTGCACCGTGGAACACCAAACATGGTCATTCCCAAATATATTATCCGTATGAAAACATCGACCGAGTTCACTGATAGGCTGAGCTGATAATATCCACGCCAACATTTTCACAACTGAGTCAACTGAACGTTTGACTGCTTTCGTTGACTGAGATAATGAGCCTTGACTCAAATCCCACAAGGTTGTCGTAGACTATGGCTACGAATAAAAATAAAAATTGCGGACTAACTAACAACAACAACCGCCATTCACCACTAAATGGCGGTGACATCACCACGACGCTTGTGCCAGGCCATGTGCACCTTGAGGCCACGTGAAGTGTCGAATGCCCGCTGGTAGGAGGTCACGGGGCAGACCCAGGTGTCACGGGTCGACTGACTGAGATGACCGAGATGACTAGCTGATGCACCATCTGTGCCCCCTACTGTGCTAACTTGCTGTGCTTTAGCCACCCGGCGCTCCGTTCGTTGTTGTGAGCGTCGCTCCTCCGCACTCCGTTGTTGCGGACTAACTGAACACTGCAGCACACACACACACACACAGACGCGCATATTGGGGCTCTTTCGCAGGAGTGGATTTCGCACGAGAACAACAGAAGACGGCGACCACCGCACCTCCCTCTCCTCTGACCCCGTGTTGGCTGCAGGCCGCTTGCCTGGTTCATTAATAATCCTGAGCGGTGGCCCTGGCAGGAATGTAGGGTCATGAGCTGTGGCCGTTCGCAGGGGCAAGCGCACGGGCCAGGGACCGCAAGGGGCTGCTGGGATAATTCCAATGTGGTTATTTGTGGAGGTTTTATGCCGTAAGTATTTACGACTTTGTCTCAAATCCCCGTGGAATTGATGCTACCGCGGCATTTTTTTTAGTGGCGCTGTGTTAGATGTGTTTGTATTACTTGTGTTTGTCTTGTAGAACATTTTTTGTAATTTTGGCTTCTCATTCAGGGGGAGTGGAATATTTTTCTTACCCAGTGCCGAACACCATTATTATTATTGTTTACGATTACGCTTGTTTACTCAGGAAAGCCTCACCGAGTCTCAAGGTTATTTTTGAGGAGGGTCCTGCCAAGTTTTCGCAGTGTAGACGTTGTGGCAATTTGTAGTTTCAATTCAGTAATTTGCATCGAAATATTTTAACATTGAGATGTTGGGCCAAAAGCAGTTACATTGTCGGATTTTTGTTGTTCTTTTGTCGATGTGAGGAAACCAGATAACCTGCACAAAACCCATGCAGAACAGGGGTAAACACACAAACTCCACGGATCAAGGTGCCATCGTCGGGAATATGCAGGCCTTCTAGCTCCGAGGCACAAGTGTCACCACTGCACTGCTCTGCACCACCAAAAATATTTCCGATGACTCTCAAACACTTTTGGCGAGCCACACATTAATGCACACCTCTGCGTTATCCCAAAACAATGAAAATAATAATAAAGGCAAATATTTATAGGGGACTGCATTCAAATTACGAACACAGAGTCGCTAGCTTGAACATATCCTCTTCTCGTACACGATTAGACATCTAAGGTGATCGCAGCGGTGGATAAGTATTGTTTGCTGGCCATTTCAATTTGGAAGGCATCAATGTGGCGACGGGCCGTATGAAATGAAGCCGTGGGTAGTATCCGGCCCATTTAATTACACTTAAGTGGTTTCAAACTCAGATATTTATTTATCTATTTTGTTAAATCATGCTGCTGGCAAATGCATAGGCTGTGCGTCTGTGTTAAAAAATGCGGTCCGGTGGTTCCATCTCGGACAGGGTGTCCCTTTACGGTGGCAGACGACGAGGCCACAAAGCAAACGGCAAGTGAGGGCACTAGACATTCCTGGCCCGGCTCTCTTTCGACGCTCATCGGCAGGAAACGTGACAAATGCGCGCAGCTGCCTGCCGCAGAGATGACAACAGCGCGCCTGTTGAATTCCGAAAAACTAAATTCCCACCACGTACACCACGAATGTAGGCAGTAGCTGCAATTCCAGCTTCACCCCACGAATGCCTTTACCCCACTTTTTTGGCAGGGCTTCGGGGACTTTTACGTATTTTTTATTTCTGCCGACTGCTTTAACGGTCGCACAAGTTGGAGCAGTGGAGCCTTGCGAGTCGTGAGAATGCGAGTTCATGTCTAGGTCACGGTCATCTTGGCCCCCCCATTACTTTGATAACGAATTACATCGTCCGTGTGGGGTGGGTAAAATTGGTACCACCTGGTTGAGGCTTCACCCACCTTGGGGGAAGTCTGCAGTGGCTGTACAATGGATGGGCTGGTCCCTGCCATAGGAATGGAGACAATCAGTGCCACATGCTTATTTGAGCATGGTTCTTAATTAAAATACGATGGCGAAATATTAACTACCACGCCTGGTTCGATTCCGACCCTGACGCCTGTATATTTGGAGGTTGCACGACCTCCTCGTGGTCGCGTGGGTTTTTCTCAGGGTTCTCCAGTTTTCCTCTCCACATTTAGAATCAACAGCCGTTTCGAGTATGTGGCTGCTGGAAATGTCCACGTGACACGCGACTTTGTTGTGCTGACATTTGTGATCAGGTCGCTTCTGAAAAAGAGCTACATAGCTCAGTGGGAATTCGCTTCCAAAGTAAAAAAATAAAAAATGAAAAAAAAAATTGTTTATTAAATTATGCTTTATTTTTGTATTGTATATGTTGAACATTTAACTCTTTTGTTTTTAACAATTCACGACCATTGCGTGTGTTTTCAGGCTGCTGAACAACAATGAGCTTCGGCGAATACCACGGAAGGTGTTTGACGAGCTGGAGAATCTGCGATACCTGTGAGTGATTCTGTCAGGACGCTTGAATTCATTGTGGCAGGCAAAGCTTTCCCTTGGTTGTGTGCACATCTATGCCGTGCTATTCATGCCGAACGTACGACGATGGGTTCATGTCCGGTAGCCGATGTGTTGTCCGATTGTGCGCTGTCCAGGTCAAGAGACACTTCTAACAGAAGCGTCGCATGAACTCTGTCCTCCTGCTTCCTGCCAATCCTCCACCTTGGCTACTCAATGGCTTAATAACCCCAACAATCGCTTCTAATGTCACAAGTGTCACCTCGCCGCCGTACGAGAGGAGACGGTGGCGCAAGTGGTTAGCACACCACGCTGCAAATCCCGTGGTTCAGTTTCAATTCCGGGTCACGCAAAACATCAATGGAAAGTTGTCCTTCAAGCAGTCCTGGACTCCTAGACTTGGTGAATGTTTGCAAGGAGGGCTGGGCATGGTGATGACCACACCACCCACGCCCACGCTGTCCTGGCACACATCGGAACCCTCCGGGAGCGCTCGCTCTAGCATTCTCCTCGATAACCATCGCACTGCAGACTTCTACCTTTTCCCAATACAGTCGCATGCCCTTCGAACTGCGGATTAAAGCGACATTGTGCTTCACATTCAATGTAATTACCGCACACGTTGTTAATGTTCCACAACAAATAAGCACAACGCTAAATACACGTTTGTGCCGACCCACACCGATCAACGTGGTGAAGTATGGTCAAAGGACCCCCATGACCGACACGGCATGGAGAACCCTTCATGCAGCAGTGGATTGAAAAAATAAAATCTGTATTTTACTAATTTATATTGCAGTAAAGGCTGGATATAAGCACACCCCTTGGGGGCAATGCCTTCCCACCACCAGTGTAGTGCAAGCGTGTGTTGCGTATATCCCAGAACACTCGGCACATTCGTCAATAGCACCGTTGCCTTGAAGAGGAAAACAATAATATATAATAGGCAACATTTTTGGGCTATGGCCCTCATTCATCGGACGTAATTAGAGAGGCCAGAGAGACAGAGTGAATAAAGGTTGGACACTTAACACCATGCGGCCTGATGCCATTTAATTACAAGCATGTTTCCTGATGAACAGTTCTTTTTACTTGGCATATAAATCGTTAGAATTCATCTGGGAGCGTTTTTAAGCTAATTCTTATCAGGCTCCATGGTGTAGGGTGCAGTCCAACTCTTACCGACTCAATCCCTCTGGCCTCTGTATGTGCTATGAAGAAGAGTCATTGCCCGAAACGTCACCTATTATATACAGGGACGCCTCGACTTACGAACGAGATAGGTTACAGATGTCTGTTTCGTAAGTCGATTTGTTCGTAATTCCAACTTTACTCCCGTCGATTCCAAACATTTTGTACGGCGTGTACACTAAACACGGAGAATGGCTGTAGTTGTGGATGCCGGTGGTTCTTCACGTTCTGCTGATGGAGATGCCACCACCACCACCGCCATCTATTGCGCGGCGGTTGAACTTACGAATCTCGGTCCGAACAGGCAACTGGACATACGGACAGGTTTGTTCGCATCTGTGAAAGTTTGCAAGTCGAATGTTCGTAACTAGAGGAGTCCCTGTACTTTTCATTTCTTTCAAGGCTGCAATGTGATTGACGAGGGTGTTGCGGTTTTGTTATTTGTGCTTGTGCAGCACTGCCAACACAGCAGCGTCACCAAATAATGTGTGCTTATATAATCTCTGCTCATATCCAGAGCACGCTGTGCTAAAAATGTGCTGCCCTGTCGTGTCTGCGGTATCTAAAATTGCACGTCCGCCGTCAGCCGCGTGTGTTTGCCGAGCACATCTTGCGCGTGAGTCGTGGCAATTTGCGAGAAATCTCTCCGCCTTCCCCGAGGTGAGAAGCGGGGGCGTCGAGTCACGCTGTGGATATTTCACGGTGCCCCACCTGGTGGATTTTAAAATTCCGCACGCGGCGCTGAGGTCCCATCGCCATGCATGCAAGGTGTGCATCGTGCGAATGCACTTTGACCCCTCTGTGCGCGTTAACCCTCCCCCCCCCCCTTCGCGTAACACTGCAGGTACCTCTACAAGAACGAGATCCAGAGCATCGAGAGGCAAGCATTCAAGGGCCTGAAGTCCTTAGAGCAACTGTGAGTATTATATATATATGTATAAACATTCACAATGACCGTGCATGCCGTGTCCACCGACACGCTCGTTATTCCAGGACAGTCGAGCCCCCTGTGCCAGGCGGTCACCAACGAAACCCTCGCTGCCGAGTAAGCGCCGAAGCCCTGTCAATTCACCACTGAATCCACCGCCGAGCCACCAAAGCTCGTTTGCAAAATGTGGAAGGATTCGTGATAAGGTTCATGAGCCATCGCTTGGTGAGTGGCTTCCTTCCTGCGAGCGCAAGGCAGTGGAGGACAGAGAGAAGTGGGAGGGAGGGGGCTGCTACACCGCTGCCAATCCCCCTTGAAGGAGGACAGAGCAAGACACGATACACCCTCTAAGGCCAATTTGATGCTGGACCGAACGATATTTTGTACAGAACGCCGGTCTTTGTTTTTCCCAGTCGGGTCCTGCTAGGAGCAACTCCCTCGCCTGTTTTCGGGTCGTGCCGAATTTTGTTCGGCACAATGTCTGGGATCTTCTCGTAGGTAATTATAAGAAGCTCCGGGCACGCGGAGAGGAACGTCGGACATGGGTCAAGCTGAGGTGCTTGAAGAAAGCGGATGCTTAGGAAGGCATGACACCTCAATGGTCCCCACAATGGCTTTTGCAGGTTCACAAACCCGCATTAAATCTTGGGAAATGCTTCACGATAAAAAAAAAATTCCAATGATTCTCAACGTTTATTTACCAGTGGAGCTCCGCTTGAAATCTTTGGCCAAATCTGAGCAATTGTGTGTGTTTGGGGGAAAAAAACCCACGCGTTTAGGGAGGGATATCAAGAAAAACATTACAATGCAGGTCGCCCTTAAGGCACCTGGTTTCTCCGACTTTTTTGGCTTACGCGGTCAAGGCTCTCAATTGATTCCACTGGCCTCAGTATCGCGCTCCTGCAGATGCGATCCTGGCTGACCTTGTCCGTGTCTCCACGTATTCCCTGGAATCTGCACGAGAGCCAAGAGCATCTTAGAGGCAAGCTGCCCGTTTTTCATGCGTTCATTTGTTTGGTTTGCCTGACCGTAGTTTAGTGCTAATCGTGGCTCTGTTATGCTTTTGGTTGCTAGCAGCGTCTGGCATGACAGCACTGTAAGGTGGACCAAGCACAGAAATGCGGGAAGAGGCTCATGGTAAATGTCTCACCGCCTGCGCCTGGAGTGAGACTGAATTAGGATGGGGGACTGCCTGCCAATTGCAGGTGGTGTAGGCTCGGGCTTCGAGGTGGTCAAAAGATGCGAAGTATAGCAATTCATTCATCGCGCATTGTCAGCGACGGAACGTTGCACCAAAGGCGTGACCTCTTGTGACACCATTAGCATCAACCGCTCTTGCTGGAGTGAATTGTTTGATCCACGGATCACGGGGGGACCACCACGGGGAGGGCGGCGTTACTCCTTTGAGGGTCGCGGTCCTCACTTCGAACGTCGACCGCCAACTGAGGTGCGCGTCGAGACGGAGCGACGTGTCCCAAAAGTGTCAGCCGTCGATCGCGAGGAGACCGGTGGCAGATGCAATGGTGACGTTGCTGACGAAGTCGAAACCAGCGGATGGCGAGCAAGGCGTCTTTGGCATCGCACGTGGAGGGACTGCAGCCGATACAAATCAGCTCGTGAATCTCTCTGTATGGAGATGTGACTGTGATGCCGTCACATGTATGGGGGCTCTCTTGATGCTCTGGGTTTATCCCACGTGATAAGCGCTTCTAAACGGATAGCTCCGGGGCGTGTGTTCGGGTCGTGCCACGTCTTGTTGGGAATTGGTGTCCAATGTTTCGGTTCACGTGACGGGAGCTGCTTCAGGAACTGAACCCTTAGCGTGGTTGGCTACGTACGGTGTGAAAGAAGTTCAGCATGCAGACATACAAACAAAGATGCTCCCACTTGTACTACCTGAAAACGCATCATGGAGCAATACAGCACAACCGCAAACACCTACGTAGTCCTAGATTTGAAGCTTTCGTGACTGCAAGGATTCATATTCTTAGGTTTTTTCGGTAAAGTCACGTAGGTAAAAATTAAAATTAAAATAAATAAAAGTAAAATAAATAAAATAAAAATAAAAATCACGACGTTTCGAGTACTTGATACAGCTGTCGTGCTGTGACGGTTCCACCTGAAGATGGAAGCTTGTGTTGCTTCCGAAACGTCGTGATTTTTCTTTTTCTTTTATTTATTTTACTTTTATTAATTTTAATTTTTACCTACGTGACTTTACCGAAAAAACCTAAGAATATGAATACCTACGTAGTCATGATTATAAATGGCATTGGTGGAACAGCCACTGCAGCACCGTGCTGAAACATGTCTTGAGTCTCCGTGAAGTGACTCAGTACCTGGCCTGCCAGCGGGCATTAGTCGAGCATTAGAGGGTGATGATTCTTGTGTATGAATAACGTCGTCGACCATGCACCAGTACACAAGGGCCTTCCCGTTTGGAATGATGTCACAGGATCATTACCGTCCACTGCGCAGCGTAGTTATGGTTAAGGCACACAGCTCAGTATTAACCAGGGCAGCCTGCTGGATTCGACCCGCAAACCCCCATGCAATAAGTGACGAATGCATCACCACGAGGCCACGTGGCTAGTCCAATAAGTTGATTAGCTTATCTGAATAAAAATAGGCCAAGTTTGATTCGAATAAGCCTGTGCTATTTCTCCTGATTCTTAATATAAACCCCGTTGAGTGAAGGGAGCTTTCCTGGTTTAAATGATTTTCAAATTATCTTCTTATTGTTGATACTAAATTCTGTTCAATGTTTCTTCAACTCAGATACATTCATTTCAACCTCGTGGAAAACTTGGAGCAGGAAACCTTCAGCCATCTGCCCAGGCTGGAGAGGCTGTGAGTAATTGTTACGCACACACTGCACTCGTGAATACCGTCATGTTCCCTTGACAGGGGCTGACCCTTTCGTTTGGCTCAGCTTGGAGTGATATGGCAACGGCAGCAATAATGTTCGCCGTCCAACAAAGCACGAAATACCAAAAAAAATGTCCCCACTGTCATATTTAGTGCTGGGAGGCGCCCATCTACATTGGTGGTCCTGCACCAGTAGTGGAAATTCCACGTTACTATTTGGGGGCCGGTACATCCATAGGAGCAGTCATTGTTGTCATGCCCCACAAAGTGTTGTGGCGGGCGTGTGAGGCTTCATTTGACTTCTTACTCAGAGCGACCTTTGCCGGCTGTCTGTGGCTTTCGTGTCGCACTCCGTGGGAAGCGAATTACCTGGTTGTATGCTGGTTGCCGATCATATATGTGTCACTGTTTTGCGTGAGATTTAAAGCAATGCAGAACTTTAGACCGGCACTGGCCAGAGAGATGGAGTGAATAACAACAGTTGGAGACTGCACTATGCATCATCGGGGCCCTGATGTAATTGGAATGTTGGGAACGTTTTTAGATTAAGTTGCCGTACGAAAAATTTACCAATTTGTAATAATTTAGTATCGGACACATCCTTCAAAAGTAAACAAAAAATACGTACATACGAACTCATTGACCATTGAGGAACATTCTCAAAGGTTACTGACCCATTGAATCCGCGTGCAATGCGTCAATAACCTTTGATGGTTATTTCCTGGCCACCACCAACAGAGGTGAGCACTGCCCAGCGCTTGCGGTGAGTGCCGACCACGGGGACGCTATCACCTGGATTTCAAACGTCGTTCACGGCACGTGTTTTCTTTTTGTAGAGTACATTCAGTTTCACAGCGAGCTCAACATCGTTTTTTTTTTATCTCTCTTGAAAGCGTAACATTACACGCGCCATTACGTGCGTCCAACTGCAGATAAGTGGAATCGAAAGTGGCTTTAAGATGATGTATCCAGATCTCCCCGCGAGAGTGGAAGCCATCGGCTGGCACGTGACCACGCCAAGTCGGCTCAAGCGTTCCGCAAACGAGCACGTTCGTTTTTCCACACTTGGGCGAGCGTCGTCACGACGGATTAAGCTGCCACGTATTTAGCCGAGGGGAGCCCAGAAATCTAAGAACCGCAGATGGATTTTACGTTCCCGTCGGAGGACTCGAGACAATAGTTTTTTTGTGTGACTCAATGGATGGCATTCGCGTCGCCCTCAAGAAGTTTGGCGATGCCGAAACCGGCGATGCCCTGCCAACAAAGAGTGTCTCTGCTCAGGGGACCAAATCTGTAAATAGTGTGGGCCAAAGAAGCCACGAGTTTAAAACAACAACAACATCAACAACAACAACACCACCAACAACACAGAGACACACGCGTGCATAGCACACAGATGGTGTGTGTATACACACGGAGGGTAATTGTGCACGTCGGCTTTCACGACGCAGCGTTATGATTCATAATTCGTTGCTGTTGTTAACGTCCTGTTGGTGTTGGATGCGATCTCCAGCGGAATGTCACATACGACCATTTTGCTTTCTCTTAAACGTTCAGATTTTTCTGAAAAAACAAACAATCGAACTATTTTCCCACGTGACAATTTTATTTAATTGGTTTAGTCGGGTGGTGGAGAGTTAAAGGAATTTGTTTTGACATCATACCTCCACGACAATCTAACCCAAAAGGAACCGATTATGATCGATTATTAACCGATTACATAACCCAAAGGGAATCGATAACGAACACACAGAGGCAGCTCGCGGGAGCGGGTGCCTTGACACGACCATAGCGTATCCAGCAGCGGCTAACTCACAGTGTTCTGAACAAAATTCGTGGTACTTTTGACTGCACATTATTTATTCCTTCAACAGGGTGGCATGGATGCTGATTATCCAGATGACGGAGCCTTGACGTGCACAGTAGGGGCATGGACAGTTGGCTGAGTCGGTAGCCAGCTGAGTCAGTAGCCAGCAGCTGCGTAATTACGCTACAGTGGTGCAGTTTGGTTAAGCACGTGTTAATTAGGGTGTATGTCTGCACTACGTATAGCACGGCAACATCAATTAATCAATGAGAGAATTGTCAAGCAACGGGTAATTGTGCACCTGCAATCTGACTGCAAACTATTAAAAATTTTTTATTATACCAGGTACGGCCCACTGAGCAATGTCGCTCTTTTTCAGGAGCGACCTGGCCACCAATGACAGCTCAGTGAAGTGGCTTATCGCGTGGACATTTGTAGCAGCAGCTAAATACTCCAAACGCACGTTTCTGAATGTGGAGGGAAAAATTCGGAGGACCTGGAGAAAAACCCACGAGCCAGGGGCGGTTTCTTCATTAGGGCGATTGGGCGACGCACCACCAATGTCATTGAACCACAGAGTCACGCTAGCCGTCACTGCAGCCTCTGGATATAGTCCAATCAGCGTCATGTCACGTTCTGTGGAGTACCGCCTCTTTTTGGGCGATTTCACTCCGGCTGAGAATCGCCCCGAGTGGCCCCATAGACTTACATTGAAAGATGTTTTTTTTAGAACGGCGGGCGCTCCAATGCATTCTCTATGGCTTCCGGGAGGGCTCGCCCTAACGTGCTTACGTCATCATACGTGCTTACGTCATCATACGTAAGCACGTTTCATCCAACAATATAATTTGTGGCCACCTAGTGGAATCTTTAATAAAATAAACTTGAGTGGTTTGTTTTAATAGTGAATATAGAAACAAACAAGATGTATTGTAAGAGTCACTTTATTTTTCATTAATATTAAAGAAGTGAAGTTTCCTTTACATGCTTAAGCTGTTAATTTATCCATTGCATGGGTGGACCTTATCCTTATCAATCATCCAGACATTTGCCCCCCCTGAGAGATTTTGCAGGAGCCGCCACTGATCCACGCTACCACGGGGAGAGAGAGAGACACACACAACTCTAAATAGCAGACGTCAGGGTCGAGATCGAACCCACGATTTCCTGCATACCAGGCGAGGTAGTTGATATCTCGCCAGCCATATTTCAAGAGAATACCACTCGCCTCCTGAGCAAACTAAACTCAGCGTCGCCATGCTCGAACAAGCATTGGCCACTGCTTGTCTCCATTCCTATGGCAGGAGCCGGCCGGTCAGGCGAGGGGGTAAACATCTTGGCACCGTGCGGGGCGCCCCCACGAGTGGGACACCCCCCCCCCCCCTTAACTTCCAAAGTGTGGTGGTTGTGGCTCTGGCCCTGCTCGTAACCACGTGGGGGGGGGGGGGGGGCAGTGTGGGGACTGCGCGATCGGGCGCCGTCACACGTTGGTGCATCTCGCGTGCGTCTGTGTGCGACGGTGGCGAGAGCGGTCCGTGTACGCGCGTTGAACCTCTTCCGCACCTGGGCAGGTTCCTGCACAACAACAAGATCGCACGCATCCCCGCCCGGGCCTTCTTCCACCTCGACTCCCTCAAGCGACTGTGAGCAGCCGCGTCGGCTTCCTCCCCCCCTCGCTCGCTCGTCGGTGACCGTCCGCGTACAATCACGGTAGTCGATGTGAGAGCCAAGGTCGGGTCGCAGTCGAGGTACGGTCTGAGCGCACGTGTCAGAGACGAGACATGGCAAGTGTTGATTTGTGTGGTGTAATCGGTGCGGGCTGCTGAAAAAAACCCCTGAAAAGTGCGCAAAGTAGCATGGTGAGATGCGTGCTTGGAATCACATTGAGAGCGAGAAAGAGGAGAAACACGCGGAATATGGCACATCATTAAACCTGCTAAGAATAGTGAGTGGGCATGGGTAGGACGCGTCGCTAGAAGAGATGATGGACGATGGGCAGGAATAGTAACGGAGCGGGAGCCACGGAATGAAATGCGTCCGCGAGGACGTCCCCCGAAGGAGATGCAGCGATGAGATCAGCTGATCTGCAGCGCTGGACTGATTGTTGCATGGGAAGAGCGCTAGAGGCGGCGGCCTGGGGAGTCCTTCATCGTGGCTGATTGCGATGATGGTCGTTTAAAATTGATTGGTGAAAGAGAAAAAAAAATCTGATTTTAAAACTTTTTAAATTGAATCCGCTTCGAATTGATTTTGTGTCAACGTGCTCTTCCAACCATGTCTCCGGACATATAAAATCCTTAACATTTTAGTCCGAGGGAACACAATAAACATGCGGGCATCTCATGTAAATCTATGCAGTATGTGTTGGCTTACGCATGGGCGTGTGTGTGTGCACACGTGCGTTTGAGCGCGCGTGAGTGTGTGTGTGATGTCAAAGTGCACCAATGCCTGGCGCAAACACCACGGTGAGCTCACCACCACGGTGAATGGGGGCTGTTATTATTATTATTGTTGCTGCGTGTGCAGGAGTGTGCATGGTTTGTGTGTGCGTGCGGTTATGTCTGTGTCTGTATACAAACAAAGACAAGCTGGAAGTGATTGGCGCGCTGCGCTATGAACCCGGCAACCCGAATTCGATTGTCGCTCACGGCCAACACCAGTGACAATGATCTGAACCGGTCCTGGGCCTCCTCTAGGTCGACTCGGACTAAAACGAGTACTTGGTGCAGTGCGTAAGGGGCCGTCCATAAATGACGTCACACACCTAGGGGGGGGGGGTCAGACATTTGTGACGATGTGTGACGAGGGGGGGGGGGGGTTTCAGAAATGAGACGTCACATCAAAATGCGCAACTTTAACTAAAAATAGACAACACGTTCTACTTAATTAAATAGACTTTTTAATAAATGTTTTCTCCTACAACATCAGAGTGCAGTGCCACATTAAATACGCACTACAATGACAATAGTTTAAAGCGATTCGAAGCATTTTTATTTTTTTGGGGGGGCAGAGCTTTGTAACGTCATATTTGTGGGGGGCTCTGACTTTTTGTGGTGCCGTGTGACGAGGTGGGGGGGTCAAAAATCGTCCAAAATCGCGTGACGTCATTTATGGACGGCCCCTAAACATCGCCACTTCGGAGACAAAAGCGGCCGGTAGTGGTGCTGGCCACCCACCCACCCACGCATCTCGTGCGCCGTGCCGGCCTTCACAGGCGCACCTCGCTCGCAGCGCTTGCCCCGAACAGTCCGTCAAGGCTGCGCGTGAATCTCTGTCTCTGCGGCAGGCGGCTCGACTCCAACCGGCTGGTATGCGAGTGCGACCTCAAGTGGCTGTCCAACCTTCTCAAGTCCATCCTGAAGCACGGCAACGGGCAGGCGGCCGCCACCTGCGAGCAGCCGGCGAGCCTGTACGGCCGCACGCTCGTCTCGCTCACCGCCGAGGAGTTCGACTGCGGCGAGCCGCACGCCGGTAGCGACACACAGCGGCACGCGGACAGAGTCCCCCTCCCACCCCCCCCCCCGTGTAGCTCACGGCTGTTAGCGAGCGTCTATGAAGGGCGGCCCCACGCCCGGCTGTCCACGTGCTGATGTTTGCACAGCGGCACCGAGGCCGAGTCCCGAGAGCGGTTCAGATATTCGCCAACGACGTTGGCCGTGAGCCCGGTTCGTAGCGCGGTGCACTCACCGCCGTGACGGCACACACACACACACTTATACACACGTACACACGTATATACACACACACACAAAGATAAAAAAACAAAGAAAAACAAAGATCCCCCATATAGCCTTAACAGTGCTGTTAGCGAGCACCTATGAAGGCCGGCACGGTACACGAGGGGGTGGGTGGCCAGCACCACGCCCGATTGCCTTTGTCTCCCCAGTGGCGATGTTTACACACCGCACCAGGTACTCATTTGTGGCTGAGTCAACCTAGGGGAGGCCCGGGACCGGTTCAGATAATCGTCACTCGTGTTTGCCGTGAGCGAGAATCGAACTCGGGTCGCCGGGTTCATAGCGCAGCACGCTAACCGCTACACTACCGCTCCCCACACACACACACATGCATGGCGGGCACAGGACCGGTGACGGTCCGCATCGGCCTTCCGATCACAAGGCACAAGATGCTCGCTGCACCGATGCTGATCGTGACGCCGCCGCGGGCGTAGAAATTTCCCACCGGTCAGCGAGATTGCGGTCGCGAGATCTGAATGAGAGTGACGCCCACAACACGGGCTCAGCGTTACTCTGCCCCCTTCAACTGAACCTCCTTGCCTGGCCCTTCTTTTTTTGTTTCGAACTACCTCCGTACCCCCCCCCCCGCGCGCGCCACCGACCGACCGACACAGAGCGGCCCCGCATCTTGGCGGAGCCGAGGGATGTGGACGTGACGCTGGGCAAGACGGTCCACTTCACGTGCCACGCCGAGGGGAACCCCAAGCCCGAGATCATCTGGCTGCACAACAAGTGAGACGCCACCGCCACTGCGGTGGACATTGTCTGCTGCGCTTCCAACGTACGCGCACGTACGCTGACCGGTCGCTAGCCACCAGCGCACCGTCTCGCTTGGGCGGGGAGAAAGGGAGGCGTCGCCTGCCGTTCCGCTTTTTTTTTGACCGCTCTTGATGATTTTGCGCTTCTCTAATCAAAGTGTCCTCGTCACAATCGCCCATCATGGTCGACGTCGTCGTTGATATCGTCATTGTCGTTTTCGTTATTTTCATGAGTGTCATCGTCGTTGTCATCGTGATCACCATGGTTGCTGTGTTCATCATCGTCGTTGTCATCGTGATCACCATGGTTATTGTGTTCATCATCGTCGTTGTCATCGTGATCACTATGGTTACTGTGTTCATCATCGTCGTTGTCATCGTGATCACCATGGTTACTGTGTTTATCATCGTCGTTGTCATCGTGATCACCATGGTTACTGTGTTCATTATCGTCATTGTCATCGTGATCACCATGGTTACTGTGTTCATCATCGTCATTGTCATCGTGATCACTATGGTTACTGTGTTCATCATCGTCATTGTCATTACTAACATAATCGTCATTGTCATCATCGCCGCTATCAACTACCATCATCATCAACAATATCATCCTCTGTATAGTTATTTTCAGCATCATTCTCGCCATCATCATCATCATTGTGATTCCTCTGAGGTGGGTACATTGAGCACCATCTGGTGAATCCGCACCCCTTGGCAGGAAGTCACCACAGCGGCGCCCCGACAGAGAGAGAGAGACACTTGCTCCTGTCATAGGGATGTGTACAAGTTCACCCCCGGCTGGTGGCAGCTGGTGACTGACAAATGCACGTCTTGAACACGGGGGGCGACACGTTGGCTGTGTTCTTTGAAATCCTTCTTCACTTAAATACTAAGTTGAATGCCACCCTTTAATAGCATTTCTTTTTTAATATAAAGTCCTGGCTCACCTGAACCGTTCATTCACGCACTCAGCCAGTTTCCTGACTTAAAACAGACAGGGGCACGCGGAACGTGAGTGCGGCCTCACGGGCGCATTCTGCCAAGCACAACACACGAATAGCCAGTTTACAACATTCAACGTCTCCTGCGTCAAGTGCACTTGGTATGGACGGTTGTTTTCCGCAAGAGCGCGCAGTTTAAATTCGTTAAAGTTGCGGGTCTGTTAATCCACCTTGCCCCGACTTTCAAAATTGTAATTAAAAAAGTTTAGCTACTTATGTAAAGCCCCAGTTTGCCTAAAAGGGCTCTGAGCACATACCATGAATGCGCGCCTGAGCCAATGTTTCCATCCCGGTTATATTTATAGTCAAACCTGTCCCGGTGGGCCAATGAAATTGCTTTGAATACCTCTTTTTAGTATTTTAGCTTTCATGTTTCTGTTTCCTTTACAAATGAGAAAGTGACCGTTTTTTAAGGGCGAAAATTCCACGCAAGAAATAATCCATATTCGATCCTTTATTGTCGCAAGCAGCAGAGTTCCAAATTCCTGGCCATAGGCCATTCCCGCACGCTACCTCTTGTATAATGTTTCCTCTGCAGGGCAGTGCTGTCGATAAATGTGCTGTGTGGGGAAGTCAACTTGGGTAAATCCACAGACTCATTCACAAGATGTACACAAAGCGTTACCCAATGTGAGGTCTATGATACTCTGTAAAACCCAACTTCACTGATTACGTGTGTCATGCCTTTTCTTGTGGCTTATTGACAGTAATATGTCAAACACGTAGAACAAGTGCATATTTAGTTTTTCATCGAGGCAATATGCGGGTCCGTTACATCACGTTGTGTCGCACGTACACACACCGTCAACATCAGCTTCACCGGGAATGAAAATCAGCATATAAAAAGACGGGGAACGGACTCGCTACCCCAATTAATCTTAATTGTGAATCATTTAAAGCACATCATGGTATTTATGTTGAACACGGTAAAGTAATGAACTGCACAAGGTTTTAGCAATATACACCGGTCGTGAGAAACTCCAGTTCCATACCAATGCCTTTTAAAATCTAGATTGAAAACCCACTTCTTTCTAGCTAATTTTTCTGTTTTAGTTGCTGTCCTTCCCCCACACTTCCGATTAGTGCGGTTGGCTACGTACGGTGCGAAAGAAGCTCAACGTACACACGTACCCATACCACGCTCAACCGAGAAGGAAGGACCGCACAATGCATTCGCGATTCAAACGCGTGCGTGCGAAGGAGCCAAATAACCCGCCGTGCCCACGTCCACCATGGTTACTGTGTTCATAATCGTCATTGTCATCGTGATCACCACGGTTACTGTGTTCATTATCGTCATTGTCATCGTGATCACCACGATTACTGTGTTCATCATCGTCATTGTCAACGTGATCACCATGGTTACTGTGTTCATCATCGTCATTGTCATCGTGATCACCACGGTTACTGTGTTCATCACCGTCGTTGTCATCGTGATCACCATGGTTACTGTGTTCATCATCGTCATTGTCATCGTGATCACCATGGTTACTGTGTTCATCATCGTCATTGTCATCGTGATCACCATGGTTACTGTGTTCATCATCGTCATTGTCATCGTGATCACCATGGTTACTGTGTTCATCATCGTCGTTGTCATCGTGATCACCATGGTTACTGTGTTCATCATCGTCGTTGTCATCGTGATCACCATGGTTACTGTGTTCATCATCGTCGTTGTCATCGTGATCACCATGGTTACTGGTGATCTCTTGCGTGCCGCAGCAACGAGGTGGACATGACCGAGGATCGGCTGGACCTGCTGGAGAACGGCACGCTGATGATCCGCAACACGCGCGAGTCCGACCAAGGGATCTACCAGTGCATGGCGAAGAACGTGGCGGGGGAGGCGAAGACGAGCGAGGCTCTGCTGCGATACTACGGCGGCCCCAGTGAGTGGGGCCCACAGACGTCACGTGGGGGGGGGGGGGGCAGCACTCGTGACTGGCTGGCTAGTTAGCTAGGGGGTAGTACTATGGCGTGTACTAGTGGCTGGTTGCTTATGTTGCAATTGTTGTGAGTGAAAGGGATAGTTCTCGTGACTGGCTAGATGGTTAGAGGCTATGTCTGGTTCTAGTGGCTGGCTGGCTAGATGGTTAGAGGCTATGTCTGGTTCTAGTGGCTGGCTGGCTAGATGGTTAGAGGCTATGTCTGGTTCTAGTGGCTGGCTAGATGGTTAGAGGCTATGTCTGGTTCTAGTAGCTGCATGGCTAGATGGTTAGAGGCTATGTCTAGTTCTAGTGGCTGGCTCGATGGTTAGAGGCTATGTCTGGTTCTAGTGGCTGCATGGCTCGATGGTTAGAGGCTATGTCTGGTTCTAGTAGCTGCATGGCTCGATGGTTAGAGGCTATGTCTAGTTCTAGTGCCTGGCTAGTTGGTTAGAGGCTATGTCTGGTTCTAGTAGCTGCATGGCTAGATGGTTAGAGGCTATGTCTAGTTCTAGTGCCTGGCTCGATGGTTAGAGGCTATGTCTAGTTCTAGTGCCTGGCTAGTTGGTTAGAGGCTATGTCTGGTTCTAGTAGCTGCATGGCTAGATGGTTAGAGGCTATGTCTAGTTCTAGTAGCTGATTGGCTAGTTCGTTAGGGGCTATGTCTAGTTCTAGTGGTTGGCTGGCTAGTTCGTTAGGAGCTATGTCTAGTTCTAGTGGCTGGTTAGTTGATTAATGGCGGGTTGAGCATTTGCTTGTTCGGTGTGCTCCACCCTCCAGACTCCTGTCCCTTGCCCCCACTGCCAGGCTTGGATGTTCAGGTCCTGGTGCTTGCGGCTCCACACGCGGAGCGCGCGGAGGGAAGTGCGCGCGGAGTGGTTTGTGTGTGCTTTTGGGCCCAGGCGGCCGGAGCCTGCTGACTCCGGCCCGACTGATAATGCGCCGCAGCAAACATCGTCAAGCAGGCTTACTGTTTTTAAGGGGTTTTCAGTTCATAATGTTTACGTTGGAAAGTGCTGTCGAGATAATAGGGAGGAGGAGGCTCCATTGGGTGGGGTGTGTGCGCAAAGGGGAGGAGGGCGGTTCACCGAGGCAGGCTTCGTAGTGCCACCCAGAGGTTGCTGAGCAATGGGAAGAAAAAATGTAACCCGTAAAAACAAAGTTTTTCACTATAAATCCTTTATATTCGTGGCGGCTAGAGTCCTCTCGTCCTCTGGCTTGAGATGGCTGCCACCTATGGGTCAGATGATTGTCTGCCACCATTAAGCAATTGCTAATTAAATATTTACATTTTTTTCCCTAAACAGTGTAAAATTTGGGAATTTTTTTTCACGAAAATTAATTGTCACGCACAACGAGTCTGTGTGCAAAATGTCAGCTCGATTGGATCACGGGAAGTGGGTTAAAAAACGACCGAAAGATTTGCACGGTCGTAAGCAAGCAAGCAAGCAAGCACGCAAGCACGCAAGCAAGCAAGCGAACTTAATATAAAGGATTTAAAAAAACCTAAAGCCAGATGGACGGACGAGTCCGGCATCTGATGGCGGTGACGTGGTCTTTGCGGTTGCAGCGTTTGCCAGTCGTGTGCAGAGGTTCATGGTTCGTCTCCAGTGGTCACCGCGATCGTTCTTGCGGGTTGCAGTACCCATAGTGACGCTACGTAGGCTGTCCGCTGCACAGTGGACGTCAAACACCCCCGCACGGAATTCGCAATTCGCAAGGGGAGGGCATCGTGTGGAGGCGTCAGGGTCCGAATTACCAAAAATGTAATATTACTCGCAAAATGAATAAATTGTGATTATACAGAGCGATCATCGCCCCCCCCCCCTACCGGCAGCCTAATGCCTGATTGCAGGCCAGGGTGCTGAGTCACATGGTGCTGCGCAGGGACAGCTGCCGATGGGGGTGCCCCTTCAAATGCCTGAGATGAGATGTGAGATGTAAAGCGTTGAGACCTCCTGGTGTAGAGGGCACTATTTCAATCACAACTCACGATCACAATCACTAACTAATGTACTAGCGAACGTGTAAACAGCCGAACGAGCTATCACTGCAAAGAAGAACACGTGCTTTTTCTATCTTAGTTGCTGAGCACAAGCAGTCAGCCAGGGAGAGCGCGAATGACGATAGAGCAGATCGAATCACAAACACGTTCCTTGAGTTGAACAAAGTGATCGGATCTGGGGAAAATAATAAAAGGCAGGGGGGCTCAAAAGTTGAGGAGAACGAGGAAAGAAATGATGTTTTGTTCTGCTCTGATGACCACTCGATTTGGTAGAAACGAGTCCTTGACATTGGCGGAGGTACGAAAGTGTGAGGTTTACGGGACCATAAACCACGATAGCAGTGATAAAAGAGTGACAAGAAAGCGACTAAAGGATGGTGAGACAATGGAATAAATCCGTGGTTGGAGTAAATAAGAGGAGTAGGGGCATCATTTACATCGGTAAAGGTGGTTGAGAAATCACGGAGAAGATGAGAGAGAGAAAAGGCTGGTGTGGTTCGGTCATTTGGAGAGACAACAGGGAAGTGACGTGGGTCAGAAGGTGTAAGTGATGCAAGTGGAAGGAAAGAGATCAAGAGGAAGGCAGAAGAAGGAGAGCTGGGTGGGGTTGGGGGGGGGCGATGCGGTGCGATGGGACACGGTGGCCCGAGGAGCGGAAAGAGAGATGGCGCAGGACAGGGCAGCGTGGAGAAGGTTGGCAAGGACAGAGGGTCACCCCCACACGCGTGGGACAGACGCGTGGAATATTATACCGCTCTCCTGCTTTGCTCTCGATCCTCACAAAACTCTGATCCTCAACCCCGACCGCCCCCCCCCTCGACCCCCGTCAGCCCCGGCGACCTTCGTGATCCAGCCCCAGAACACGGAGGTGCTGGCGGGGGAGAGCGTCACGCTGGAGTGCAGCGCGACGGGACACCCGACCCCGCGCATCACGTGGACGCGCGGCGACGGCTCGTCGCTGCCCCGCGACCCCCGCTTCTCCACGCCGCCCACGGGCGGCTTGCACATCCACAACGCGTCTCGCGGCGACGCCGGCCAGTACTCGTGCCACGCGTCCAACAACCAGGACGCCGTGCGCGCCAGCGCGCTCATCATCGTGCAAGGTGTGCGTCTATCTGCGTGCGCGCGTGCGTGTGTGCGTGTGCTGAACTACTTTGGCAACGTACGTAGCAAACCGCGCTAATCGGAGGTGCGGGGAAAGGACAACAGTCTTGATTTGAAGCTTTCGTGACTGCAGGAATCCATCGCCACACAAGCAATCGTCTTCGGGTGGGAAGACGGTTGCTTGTGTGGCGATCGAAACGTCGTGATCTATTATTTCTCTACCTACGTGACTTTACCGAAAGAACCAAAGAGTAAACGACAACAAACTAAACACAAAAATCTGTTATAAAGAAATTCGTTTTCAATGTAGATGTTAAAAGTGCATCACTCCCTCCAGTGGCTTCCTAATATTGGAAGGAAGAGCGTTCCAGATGGCCGCAGACGCGCCTCTGAAAGCACGTGATGCAGCGACTGTCTTCGATGATTAGCCAAAATTGATGAGGAGATGGTTGGGAACCAAAATTGTTGTTTTGTCTGGATTTCGTCTCGTGGTGCTGCGTTGGGAGCGTTTTTGTTGATCTTTCCAATTGGCTGCAGCATTGATTCCTCAAAATACAATTTCATGCCAACTCCCATGGGGGCCGTGCTACCATTCGCATCGTTTTTTGTGTTGATCATTCCGCAAATGGGTACAATGACGGCTTTTTGCGCGACCGACCCATTGGCTGGCGAGCAGAGGTGTGCGCCGATTCACAGAAAGAGTGAGAGACGACATTTGTCGTGGAAGCGAGAGAGAGAGAGGGTGTGTTTCCTGGAAGACGTTGTGAAAGCAGCTTCACGTACGGGTGTGTACTGCACGTGACCTCCAAAATAAACGCCCTTGAGAGGAAGTCCTCTTAAAAATGAAGAACCGTGCATTTTAAACGCTGCTATAAATTTTTATTTGTTTTAATCAAAACCTTATTACAGGGTGGGCGTACTTCCCCACCCAACGCTAATAAAAATGTTTCCAAAAAAAGGACTCTTTGCTCAAATAAATTGACCGTCAGAATATTTTTTTTTTCCGGTGAGCGATGCAAGTTTTTTTCCAGCGTTCCCAGGGTTCAAATCGCCCTCCTCACGTCTACGAAATGCGAACTGAGGCGTTGGTGGGGGGGGGGGGAGAAAATCGTTTCCTGGAAAAGTTTGTTTACAATGCACGCACGGCTCCGTTGCAACCTGCAGCCAGCCGGTGGACCTGACTAGCGGTCGTTCGTCCACTCCATTTGCGTGGCGTGGCAAATGGAGTGGATTGATTTCGGCACTTTTAAATCTTGATTGAAGTCACATTTTGGTTGGCTACGCACGATGCGAAAGAAGTTCAACGTACGTCTGTTGCACGGTATTCAGCCGGCCGACTGTGGCAGGTTTGATTCTATTTAGTAGTTAAAACAAACACAAATCTAAATATTTTTAATGAAGATAAACTTTCAGCTGCATTTCTCTCTCCGGCCAATGGCTGCTCGTAAAGACGTCGCGTCAACTCCTTGTTAGGTATTTTAAGAGAATGACATCGATAAAAAAATTATTATGATATTCTTATTAATATTATTAATCAGTAACACAGTATTTAGAAACTCCATTATATATGGGAAACAATAAATATGTACGTATGTATGTTGAACTTCTTTCGCACCGTACGTAGCCAGCCGCGATTATCATTTGGCTACGCACGGAAGAAATGCTGAATAAATAAAATAATTGCCCATATTATTTTTAAACATGTAAACATACTTTATGACGAGAATAGTTTCAGACGTGGATTAAATTATACTTTCTTAGGTTAAACAAACATACGGCTGGTCATATGATACCTCTCGACTCGCTGTGATTGGCCACACATTTCTGAAATGTTGCAACTGTTGCACTGGGTAGGAACAATCCCTGAATAAGAGAAACGAGGTAGGAGAGTACATTGAGGTGGGAGTAGAGAGAGGTGAGAGAGACGAGGTAGGAGAGTACATTGAGGTGGGGAGTAGAGAGAGGTGAGAGAGACGAGGTAGGAGAGTACATTGAGGTGGGGAGTAGAGAGAGGTGAGAGAGACGAGGTAGGAGAGTGCATTGAGGTGGGGAGTAGAGAGAGGTGTGAGAGACGGGGTAGGAGAGTACATTGAGGTGGGAAGTAGAGAGAGGTGAGAGAGACGAGGTAGGAGAGTACATTGAGGTGGGGAGTAGAGAGAGGTGAGAGAGACGAGGTAGGAGAGTACATTGAGGTGGGGAGTAGAGAGAGGTGAGAGAGACGGGGTAGGAGAGTACATTGAGATGGGAGTAGAGAGAGGTGAGAGAGACGGGGTAGGATAGTGCATTGAGGTGGGGAGTAGAGAGAGGTGAGAGAGACGAGGTAGGAGAGTGCATTGAGATGGGAGTAGAGAGAGGTGAGAGAGACGAGGTAGGATAGTGCATTGAGGTGGGGAGTAGAGAGAGGTGAGAGAGACGGGGTAGGATAGTGCATTGAGATGGGAGTAGAGAGAGGTGAGAGAGACGAGGTAGGAGAGTACATTGAGATGGGAGTAGAGAGAGGTGAGAGAGACGGGGTAGGATAGTGCATTGAGGTGGGGAGTAGAGAGAGGTGAGAGAGACGGGGTACGAGAGTGCATTGAGGTGGGAGTAGAGAGAGGTGAGAGAGACGGGGTAGGAGAGTACATTGAGGTGGGAGTAGAGAGAGGTGAGAGAGACGAGGTAGGAGAGTACATTGAGGTGGGGAGTGGAGAGAGGTGAGAGAGACGAGGTAGGAGAGTGCATTGAGGTGGGGAGTAGAGAGAGGTGAGAGAGACGGGGTAGGAGAGTACATTGAGGTGGGGAGTAGAGAGAGGTGAGAGAGACGAGGTAGGAGAGTGCATTGAGGTGGGGAGTAGAGAGAGATGAGAGAGACGGGGTAGGATAGTGCATTGAGGTGGGGAGTAGAGAGAGGTGAGAGAGACGAGGTAGGAGAGTGCATTGAGGTGGGAGTAGAGAGAGGTGAGAGAGACGAGGTAGGAGAGTACATTGAGGTGGGGGGTAGAGAGAGGTGAGAGAGACGAGGTAGGAGAGTACATTGAGGTGGGAGTAGAGAGAGGTGAGAGAGACGAGGTAGGAGAGTACATTGAGGTGGGGAGTAGAGAGAGGTGAGAGAGACGAGGTAGGAGAGTGCATTGAGGTGGGAGTAGAGAGAGGTGAGAGAGACGAGGTAGGAGAGTGCATTGAGGTGGGAGTAGAGAGAGGTGAGAGAGACGAGGTAGGAGAGTGCATTGAGGTGGGAGTAGAGAGAGGTGAGAGAGACGGGGTAGGAGAGTACATTGAGGTGGGAGTAGAGAGAGGTGAGAGAGACGAGGTAGGAGAGTACATTGAGGTGGGGAGTGGAGAGAGGTGAGAGAGACGAGGTAGGAGAGTGCATTGAGGTGGGGAGTAGAGAGAGATGAGAGAGACGGGGTAGGATAGTGCATTGAGGTGGGGAGTAGAGAGAGGGGAGAGAGACGAGGTAGGAGAGTGCATTGAGGTGGGAGTAGAGAGAGATGAGAGAGACGGGGTAGGATAGTGCATTGAGGTGGGGAGTAGAGAGAGGTGAGAGAGACGAGGTAGGAGAGTGCATTGAGGTGGGAGTAGAGAGAGGTGAGAGAGACGGGGTAGGAGAGTGCATTGAGGTGGGAGTAGAGAGAGGTGAGAGAGACGAGGTAGGAGAGTGCATTGAGGTGGGAGTAGAGAGAGGTGAGAGAGACGAGGTAGGAGAGTGCATTGAGGTGGGAAGTAGAGAGAGGTGAGAGAGACGAGGTAGGAGAGTACATTGAGGTGGGAGTAGAGAGAGGTGTGAGAGACGAGGTAGGAGAGTGCATTGAGGTGGGAGTAGAGAGAGGTGAGAGAGACGAGGTAGGAGAGTGCATTGAGGTGGGAGTAGAGAGAGGTGAGAGAGACGGGGTAGGAGAGTGCATTGAGGTGGGGAGTAGAGAGAGGTGAGAGAGACGAGGTAGGAGAGTACATTGAGGTGGGAGTAGAGAGAGGTGAGAGAGACGAGGTAGGAGAGTACATTGAGGTGGGGAGTGGAGAGAGGTGAGAGAGACGAGGTAGGAGAGTGCATTGAGGTGGGGAGTAGAGAGAGGTGAGAGAGACGGGGTAGGAGAGTACATTGAGGTGGGGAGTAGAGAGAGGTGAGAGAGACGAGGTAGGAGAGTGCATTGAGGTGGGGAGTAGAGAGAGATGAGAGAGACGGGGGTAGGATAGTGCATTGAGGTGGGGAGTAGAGAGAGGTGAGAGAGACGAGGTAGGAGAGTGCATTGAGGTGGGAGTAGAGAGAGGTGAGAGAGACGAGGTAGGAGAGTACATTGAGGTGGGGAGTAGAGAGAGGTGAGAGAGACGAGGTAGGAGAGTACATTGAGGTGGGAGTAGAGAGAGGTGAGAGAGACGAGGTAGGAGAGTACATTGAGGTGGGGAGTAGAGAGAGGTGAGAGAGACGAGGTAGGAGAGTGCATTGAGGTGGGAGTAGAGAGAGGTGAGAGAGACGAGGTAGGAGAGTGCATTGAGGTGGGAGTAGAGAGAGGTGAGAGAGACGAGGTAGGAGAGTGCATTGAGGTGGGAGTAGAGAGAGGTGAGAGAGACGGGGTAGGAGAGTACATTGAGGTGGGAGTAGAGAGAGGTGAGAGAGACGAGGTAGGAGAGTACATTGAGGTGGGGAGTGGAGAGAGGTGAGAGAGACGAGGTAGGAGAGTGCATTGAGGTGGGGAGTAGAGAGAGATGAGAGAGACGGGGTAGGATAGTGCATTGAGGTGGGGAGTAGAGAGAGGTGAGAGAGACGAGGTAGGAGAGTGCATTGAGGTGGGAGTAGAGAGAGATGAGAGAGACGGGGGTAGGATAGTGCATTGAGGTGGGGAGTAGAGAGAGGTGAGAGAGACGAGGTAGGAGAGTGCATTGAGGTGGGAGTAGAGAGAGGTGAGAGAGACGGGGTAGGAGAGTGCATTGAGGTGGGAGTAGAGAGAGGTGAGAGAGACGGGGTAGGAGAGTGCATTGAGGTGGGAGTAGAGAGAGGTGAGAGAGACGAGGTAGGAGAGTGCATTGAGGTGGGAGTAGAGAGAGGTGAGAGAGACGAGGTAGGAGAGTGCATTGAGGTGGGAAGTAGAGAGAGGTGAGAGAGACGAGGTAGGAGAGTACATTGAGGTGGGAGTAGAGAGAGGTGTGAGAGACGAGGTAGGAGAGTGCATTGAGGTGGGAGTAGAGAGAGGTGAGAGAGACGAGGTAGGAGAGTGCATTGAGGTGGGAGTAGAGAGAGGTGAGAGAGACGGGGTAGGAGAGTGCATTGAGGTGGGGAGTAGAGAGAGGTGAGAGAGACGAGGTAGGAGAGTGCATTGAGGTGGGAGTAGAGAGAGGTGAGAGAGACGGGGTAGGAGAGTGCATTGAGGTGGGGAGTGGAGAGAGGTGAGAGAGACGAGGTAGGAGAGTGCATTGAGGTGGGAGTAGAGAGAGAGTGAACGAGAGACGAGGTAGGAGAGTGCATTGAGGTGGGAAGTAGAGAGAGGTGAGAGAGACGAGGTAGGAGAGTGCATTGAGGTGGGGAGTGGAGAGAGAGTGAGCGAGAGAGTGAGCGAGAGGTGGGGGTTTACATAAAGCAAAGTTTAAAAATTTTAATTAAAAAAAAAGAGCGATGAGAGAGACGGGGTAGGTGACAGCGAGTAGGTCAACAGAGTGAGTCGTGAGGAGAGAGGGGGGCGACCTACGGATGAGCGGCGTGTTGAGGAACGAGCCGTGCGATTGTGTCACCCGCAGAGCCGCCCGAGTTCGTGGTGCTGCCCACCAACCAGACGCTGGTGGAGGGTCAGACCGCGGACTTCCTGTGCGAGGCACGCGGGGATCCCCCGCCGAGCATCTCGTGGACCAAGGCCGGTGCGGTCTTGACCGCAGTCTCAGCTGCACTGCTGTCACGTCCTCGGAGACGCATAGCTGACACGTGCCGCTGTGGTGTCAGTCCGGACCTGGACTCAGGGCCGCCCTATGGCGTGCTGGTCGTGGTGGTGGTGTTTTAAAATCCGTATTGTATTTCGCTCGGCATGCTGGTCAGTGTGGGTTTGGTAAAAGCAGGGGGGGGCACAGATGTGGGCGCAATCTACAGTACAACACTGTGTTTTCTGCAATTCGCTCTGCCGAACACCACCTAGCACAGTCGCACAGCGGTGGGCACGCATCCCAAGCACTGTCCAGAGCTCAATCCCACTTACATTCTGAAATCTGATATGAGATCGAGCAAATTTCCGCACGATTCGGTCATCAGCCTGAAATGAATGCCTGGCTACGGGGCGTAAACATCACCACCGGAGATACAAAGGCGGCCGGGCGTGACGCTAGCCGCGCGTCGCGTTGACCTTCATGGCAAGGGGCCGTCCATTGAGTACGTACGCATGGAGGGGAGAGGGGGGGTTAACCCAAATGCGTAGCTTGCGTATGGGGGGTCTACTGACAATGTACGCATAGGAAACGGGGGGGAGGGGGGTGATGCCTCGATAATAATGTGTCTACATTGGCCTTCAAATGACTTAGATAGTCCGGCGGTGGACTATCTGTTTGCTGAAGCGCATTAATATTATTAACCCTTGATCGTTTCTGCGTGGATTCGGGGAGGGGGGGTGGGGGGTGTAAAAAATCCGCGTGCGTACAGAGAGTGGGGGGGGTGAGGGCTCAAGTTCTGACAGATTTCAGCGTACCGACTCAATGGTTGACCCCTACCGGCACTATGCCCCAGCAGCCTGTGTGTGGGCTCCACGTGGATGGGTCTTGGTGTCCGTGCCGTGCGGGCGAGCAGGTTACCCCGTGGTGAGCGAGGGACGCGTCTCCCTGCTGCCGCCCGGCACGCTGCGCATCGCACGTGCCGAGGTGCGCGACAGCGGCCGCTACCGGTGCCAAGCGAAGAACGCCGTGGGCTCGCGGGACGCCGACGCCACGCTCACCATCACCCGCCGCCGTGAGGGCCACCGTCTACCGCTCCACCACCTCCACCAGCTCCACCTTCCATGTCTGCCTCCTCCACCACCGCCACCACCACCTCCTTCACCGCCACCTACACCTCAACTGCCATGTCCGCCAACTCAACATCCTCTGTGTCCACCTTCATCTCCACCACCACCACCACCTCCTCCGCCTCCGCCTACACAGCCAACACGTCCACATCCGATTAGCGCGGTCGGAGGTTCAACATGAATACATACCTCCCACGCTCCTGCCAGACAGCCACGCTGCGCAATGCAACAGTCAGGAGAATAATAATAAAAAAACTCACGCACTCGCCAAAAACACCGCCACAGAGAGGGAAACTGATATCGTCGGCGACATTCCGGGAGGCGGCTGTTCTACATCTCAGAGGGAGACGCATCTCTCTATCTCCCTGCTTGCTTTCTTCGTTTGCGATAGTAGATATATAATTATGACGATCGCCAAGGCAGCGGTGAGCTGTGCTGCATTCAGCGCAAATCTCATTCGTTACACAGTCACTTTTAATGTACAGTTATTACTGACCCAGGTAAAAAGACCAACTTCTACCACTATAAATGCCGATTTGAAGCTTTCGTGACTACAGGGATTCATATTCTTGGTTCTTTCGGTAAAGTCACGTAGAAGGGAAATAATAAAATAATAAAAATAAAACATGATAAAATAATTCTCACAAAATAATATTGTATTATGTTTTATTTTAATTATGTTATTATTTCCCTTCTACGTGACTTTACCGAAAGAACCAAGAAGATTCTACCACTATATTATAGTATATACCATCATCGTGTATATTTAATCGACCTTAACTCTTCAAATCTTAATCCACGATCCCCCCCACGTTTCTTGCCCACCATTATAACGCGACCGTCTGTGAGTTCCCACTCGGCTCCCGCGACTTCAATCGTCTCACAGACGAACGCGGAATTGTTTAACGTTGCTTCCTTAAAGGTCTCGTTCCGTTTCCCCCGTGCGCTGTGTATTCACAGAGGCGCCGGTGATCACGGTCTTGCCGTCCGACATCAAGACGGAGTCTGGTCACCACGTGCGAATTTACTGCAGCGCGCAGGGAGAACCACAGCCCGGCATCACCTGGACTAAGGTAGGACGGCTCGCAGTCTCACCCCCCACCCCACTCACACGGCGATTATCCAGTTTAACACATTCCTGCGGAGGGAGCTGGTAGGAACGTTGGGTTGCTCGGTCAATGGCCAGGGTCAATGGCGGCGTGGTGTATTCCGCAAATATGCCCGACTGTGAGGGCGGGCACAAGCCGGAGTGAGTAGGTTAAACGTTGAGTTTTATAAGGGCACCACGGGTTGACCAGCCCCTCCCCACTGAGCCCCACCCCTCCAACCCCCCACCCAGCCCCTCCCCACCCTCCCCACCCAGCCCCTTCCCACCCTCCCCTCCCCTCCCCACCCAGCCCCTCCCTCCCCACCCAGCCCCTCCCTGCACGACGGACAGACGGACACAATAATCCCCTGTGTGCTGGTGGAACCAGTGGGTTCCTACCAGCATTACATTAGTGTCCTTTCCACATTGGTCCACCATGACCGGCGGGGTGGACAAAGGTCGTCGAGCGTGACGACGGCTTGCGGCTGCTACCCACCAAACAGCGAAGCTTGACCGGCTATGGCGAGACAAAAATAACGAGTCTGAATGAAGGTGCAGACTTGAGATAATTTAGTAACCTTAACGGAGGCTGCGGTTGACCAAAGAAGACCCAAACTGACCTTTGGCTATAAATGTTACACCCGAAGATGTTCTGAGTTGACTCATTGGCTGGCCTGGTAATATCGAGGGGGTGGGGTGGAGGGACGCGCACCCCTCACCCCAACATTACAAACTCAAAGTGGACGAAGCATTTCATGTTTTGGTCGACTAGACTGCGACGAAGACTTAATGGAACCCACAGACTGGGACTCGGCAAAGACTGTGACTCATATACAACTGCTGGAAAACTGAAGACCGCCCGCAAACCCATCCAGACCCCGTTCGCGCACCCCTCACGGCTCACTCTCCTGTAACCTCGAGACGCCCTCAAGAAAGCTTCAGGCCTTGTCAGCCCAGGCTTAGAGGCAGCCTCCTCTGCCATGGCCACCCCCCACACAGAGCCCCCCCACACAGAGCCCCCTTTACATGGAGCCCCCCTCACATGGAGCCCCCACACAGAGCCCCCCCCACGCGGAGCCCCCCCCCCCCACATGGTGTGTTCGGGGGCATGGGAGGGGGGCGATGGTAATTAACATTCCTGCAAAGTGGGGCTCTCGCTAATTGATGCACTCACGCAGGAAACGAGCGCGGCTCGTGCTTACGAATAGAAACACGCGCGCGGACGGGGATATACGCATTTACGTGGGGAAATAATAAAAAAATGTTGTTACGTATGTGGAAAAGGGAAGAAATTCTAACTGTGTCGTAAATTTAATACGCTTTTGAAGTGAAACATAAGGAAATTGCTTCAGGCAGCAAAAGTAAACATTTTTAACGAAAGAGGTTAATTTAATCCTTTAATGATTTTGCTAAATAATTATTCACGGCACCAATTTTAACAAAGTGACACATTATCAATACCACGTTTCATGTTATTATTATTATTGTCACCGTAAGACGAGAAAAAGGAACACGTGGATTAGAGTTTGTACACAGGTCAGAGTCGTCGTCTGCTGGTGGTGAAGGAGTGGGCCTGACCCGTACGCGTCTCCAGGAGGGGGAGACGATGACCGGTGGTCGAGACTAACGACGGAACTGGCAGCCAAAGTAGGGAACAGGCCCCGACAAACACGCCCCCCGCGCGAGACGGAGTGAGAAAACCAGCCGGTGTGCAGGAGCTAGACGGATTTGGAAGGCCTTAATCCGGCAATGGACAGATCACGTTTGAGGATGATTATGATGAATATGGCTGTGAAGGACACGTAGAACAGATGTCAAAAATGGTCAATCGTACACTTGGCAATTGGGCAGTGGTAAATGTCATATGTTTGGGTTAAATCAGGATTTGTTCATGTCTTTTTTTTATCACCTGAATAATTTCTTAAAAATTGATATTCATGTCCTTGTAGCGAGCTAAAGCAGAATGAAATGCTCACCAATGAACAGGGAAAATGTGCATCTTGCTGCATTCAGAGGCTGCGATCGTAGATATGCAGGGTCATCATCGTCATCCTCAAACTAAACAGGCGCCTATCCATGAGGTGCATCTCGAGGCACCGAAATCGAATGCGTATTTGAGATGATTACTCAGTAAGAAGGTGTTGCAGATTAAGCACGACGTTCGAACACAATACAGTTCAGACAATATATGCAAAGAATGAGGATAAGTACGATTTAAAATATGAACTGTGCTTCAGGCTACCCCCTGGGGTTTCCTCTGATCCGAGCCAACGTCTCGTAAACCTGGACGGTGGTGAGCGAGCCGCTTCTCTTTGCTGACAGATATTAATGAGCAGTGTAGCGTGACTGGTGGAATGTTTGTGCGCGTGTGTGTGGTACGTGTGGTGTGTGTGTGTGGTGTGTGGTATTTGTGTGGTGTGTGTGGGGTGTGCGTGTGTGGTATGTGTGTGTGGTACGTGTGGTGTGTGTGGGATGTGTGTGGTACGTGTGGTACGTGTGGTGTGTGTGTGTGTGGTGTGTGTGTTTGGTGTGTGTGGGACGTGTGGTGTGTGTGTGCTGTGTGGTGTGTGTGGGATTTGTGTGTGGCGGTGTGTGTGGTATGTGTGTGTGGTAGTGTGGTGTGTGTGGTATGTGTGGTGGCACGTGTGGTGTGTGTGGTGCGTGTGTGGTTGTGTGTGGGATTGTGCGGTGTGTGTGGTGTGTGGTGTGGTGTGTGTGGTGTGGTGTGTGTGCGTGGTGGTGTGTGTGGTGTGGCTGTGGTGTGTGGTGCGTGTGGTGTGGTGTGTGTGTGTGTGGTGTGTGTGGTGCGCGTGTGTGTGTGTGGGCTGTGTGTGCGGTGTGGTGGTGTGTGTGTGTGGTGTGTGTGGTGTGGTCGGTGTGGGTGGGGTGTGCTGGTGGCTGTGTGTGGTGTGCGTGTGGTGTGTGTGGTGTGTAGTGTGCGTGTGTGGTGTGCGTGTGCGGACTGGCCCTCACCTCCACGCGATGTCCAGGAACGAGGCGAGATGGAGGAGACAATCTTTTCTTGTTTGTGTTACTTATCGAAGCCTACATTTTATGCAACTGACTCAATTGATATAACGCAAACGAACACTTTTCATATATTGTCGCTGCGTAGATTATTTAATCTGCGTGCAATTACTAGTTGGTGTTATTGTTAATCTTACTGCTGGCGAGTTTTAACACGTTGGTAATGTCTTTTTATAGACTTTTGCCATTTTTGGTCAAACATTTCAAATGCAGGCCACTTCCAAAATGGGAAAAAAACGCTGCAATATATATTTTTTATTTAAAGCAATGCATCAACATAACTGTTCTTTGCCCTTTGCCAACACAGAACGTGCCTTTAATTGTGACATCTTTCATCACGACATGTCCATGAGAAAAATGAAATTCTTGTCAAAGAGGAGGGGATCGCCAACAGCATTGCTGATCATCCTACTCAGTATTTGGCTGGCGCACACAAGACGGGGCTCGCGGTCAAATTGAGCTCATTGCCATTTCAAAGTGATTGACATCACCGTGCATCTGAAAGGCATTTACGTTCACAGGGCACTATGACTTCAGAACATTGGCAAGGGGTAGTTGGGTGGGATGCGGGGTAGGAGGGAATTTGCCAGCTGGCATGTTTTGGTGTAGGCCACAGAATCGGGCACCCAGCGCGGGTCTCCACACAAACACTTTCACATTTTTGTTAACTTCGTTTTTTTTTGTTTGTGGTGATTTGGAGAGAAGTGCGGAGAAATCTGTCGGACGGCGAACGATGTTCGCCCTTTCCGTGCAAGATCGTCGTCTTTCGGGAAGTTGGGACGACGTTAAAAAGCAGCGTAGAGTCACCCGTTTACTCCGCAGAGATTTGCAAAAGCGGATTGTGCTTTATGTTTGTTGTATCGGGTGATATGACTTTGGGCTGTGTTGTTTAGGTGCATTTTCCAGTGCCGGATGAAGCTAGTGGGGGGCCTGTAGCATATAAAGGGGCCCTAAATAAAAAAAACCCACAAATATTAAAACACAATTTTTTAACTTGCATAGTAAAGTAATTGTATTTTTTCATTTTCTATACAGCCAGATAAGACGACAAATCGCTAACCTGAAACACCCGGTCGTTCGTAAAAGTTGAAGGCGGTATAGTACTATAGTAATAGAGCAAGTGCCGAATCGCTGAACCAGAATTGATAGCTTGAAAGCGTTTAGCGCGGGGCCCTTGAAGGTGTGGGGCCCGTAGCATTTGCTACTTTTGCTACGAGGATGATCCGGCACTGCCCCTCGTGCGCTGTGCCGGCCTTGGTGGTCGTTAACAGCGCCTGCCCCAACAGTCTGTTAAGACCCATACGGCGGAATTGTTATCTTTGCGTGTCTGTGTGTCTGTGTGCATTTTTTTTTTGTCGAGGCACACAACTCGCTACGTCGCGCCTGGGGCTACTCTGGGGAATGAGGCAAATGAATGTGCTTCTCCCAGAGCACTCAGCTTGTTCAAGAACAAACACGCGCGTGCTCGCATTCAAACATCTGGCTGCATTTAGCACATCGCAAACCGGCGCGCGCGTGCGCGCACACGGCGTCTCCCTACAGTGAAACAGATGTCTTGAGAAAAGTAAATTAATAAATAATGTGTCCCACCTTGTGTTCCAAAACAATTAGAAGATTCCAGCAGTCACGGTTAAATGCTCGCACGTCGGTTCACGCGGCGCGGTGCCCAATGTGAGAGCCACAACCGCTCCTCCTGCCCTCGTCCCCTGCTACTTGAATCGGCTAATGTGGGACACCCCACTTTAACACGTAGTCGGCTTTCATGAACAATATCCATGGTAGAGGTTTTTTATTGGGTGAGATCGCGTAAATATCAATGTGTCGTTGCACCCGCCACCACCCGATACAGCCTATTTGTAAGGTTTGTCTCGTAAACAAAACGTGCCAATTCGTTACTAGTTCAGTAAACCGGTGTGTTGGAGAGTAAACCCACAACATTTACAATTCAATGAGGCTGGTTGACAGCCACTAATTCAGGCTGTCGCCTGATGAGGCTGGTTGTAATTGCCGCTGAAACGTCATACTCGAATTGTAAATGTCGTGGGTTTACTCTCCAACACACCGGTGTACTGAACTAGTAACGAATGGGCATGTTTTGTTTACGTGACAAACATTGCTTATTGGCTGTGTCGTGTGGTGGCGGGTGCAACGACAACTTTATATTTACGCGATCTAACCCAAAAAACCCTCTATTCTGGGACACCCTGTAATCACGGGCAGAGGGACAGGGTTTCACGTGGATTTCTGAAAGAGAGAATATACCCATTCATTAAGTCATTCCTCGATGTTCTCTCTGCAAAGGAATGCACTCAATTATTTGCCCATTACCGAAATTCCTGGACGCGCCAGAGAATCGCTTCGGATGTCCAAATTCTCTGGCATTTACGTTCGAGCGGGGCCTCCGTTTGTTGTCACTGATTAGAGGTTTTCTTTTTGCAAGCGTCTCGCTAAGCGGTCTGCAAGCGATCGCTGGATCCGAACGCAATCGCGTAGCAGCCAGTGGGGCCACTCGGTGATGCGCCCCAAAACTCAAGTCGCTCGTTAGCCGAGTCCGTTTGGCGGAACTCGCCGAAGCGATCTGAGCGCTCCCTGCGGAGGACGACCGTCAGTCCGGTCCGAGTTGTATTTGTGTACGGCCAACGTTGCTTAGGTACTGGAGCCATGGGGCACATTCCTACCGCGTCGGCCGGGTGCTCACGTGGATGCGCTTGGCCATAATTTATCGTCGCGAGGGCTATGCCCAACGTGTGGCTTTGCGGAGTCGCGAAACTCTGCGGTGGCCCTGGGCGCTGTCGAGGAGCGTTGAGAGGGCGTGAGCGAGTGCTCGGCGTGTCGCGCGTGCATCGGTTCGTCTGTGCAAACCAATGCTTGCGTTCACTACGTATCAAATCGTGCGCGTGAATGTGCATTCTTTTTTTTTTGCTCCTGCAATGTGTGTTTATGGGTTTGTACATAGCACATAGTACTCGAAGGGACTACGTGTATATATTTATATGTTCAAGCCTATGTCGATCTGTTGCGATGCAGAGCCTCCCCATGGTGTTAGTGTGACTATACGGTACTTCACCACGCTGGCTAGTACAACTTTGTGAAGGGGGGGGGGGGGGCGGGAGGAATCGGTTTAGACAACGCTCACCACTAATGCCATCCAGGACCGAGAATCGAACTCAAGTGGCCCGGCCTAGGGAACATTGCGTTAAAACATCGCGTTCCACAACTTTAGCCCCCCCCTCCTCCCCTTCCCCGAATAATCTTCACCAAACGGTCAAAAAAAAAGTATTGGACCTTGACTGTAATCATGACAATTAATCAAATTGTGGGGGGACTTGCATCGCTAGAGCCCTAATCAACGCCACACGTGGGCTGCGTTACTGCCGTTGTTACTATTATCAGAACCACACATTTCACTTTAGACGTGGCCACGTGTCCAGACAACAGAATGTGCGGAATCCTGTGCACCGTCTTCGCTGCTGTTTGACAAACAACGATGCTCACTGGTTACCTGTGTGCCGTGCCAGGCCACGTGATTTCGTGCTCGCTACATTGTCACGTGGAACGGTGGAATCTTCAGCGTCTGTGAATGTCACCGATCGGGCGACTCTTTCAAATGAGGCTCATCCCGTTCTCTTGAATTCTCACCTGGTTACACAAAAGTAACTTGGAAACGTGAAACCTTCTATGCTAATCATTTAATCCCTTTTCTTTTTAAAGCATATACAGTTGTTTACATCGTACTATTATTATATTACCCAGGGCATTGAGCACGCTACACTTGCAGGTTGCCAGCTTGATCTCTCGTCGTTGAAACAATGGTGAAGGTATAGTAGTAGGTTTTTACCCTTTAAACTGGTACAAAACTGACACCTTTATACAAGGCATCATGTTTGCAATAACCACAACACAAGTAGTCAAAATGCAAACAAAAATAAACAATTCTGATGATGATAATGATATACACTATCCTTGAAGTTGATTGGTCCACACCCGAGACAGCTTTCCTTAGAGCCTAGTCTCCATTGGTGTTGGACCAGATGACACCAAAAGGCGTACAACTCAAAAACAGTCCACTATCAGAGTATTGAGAGCTCGGGGTAAGCATTTACACTATGAAACAACAAGAAACAAGTGAGTCGTTTCTTTTTGTTTGCATTTTGACTACTTGTGTTGTGGTTATTGCAAACACGATGCCTTATATTAACGTGTCAGTTTTGTACCAGTTTAAAGGAGGTCTCATAGTGTAAATGGTGAATGTATTTTAATTCTGCCCACCCCTGTCCACCCGGCAGTATACATGGGCTCAGGATAGTCGATCAGCAGGTAGGGCGTGGGTACTCCCATCTCCTACAAAAGGTCTGGCCAGCGTGGCCAGGATTGCCGCCAGAGTGACTCTTTAGAGCCACTTTAGCAGAGGCCCCTACGCCGGCAGTGGCATGAGCAGGTAACTGCAGGCCTGCAGTGTTGATATTTAATTTCACTTTTCGTTTTTTTTTTCTTTAAACATCTTTAATATTCGAGTAAATATTTAGTTTTTTTTTTACTTTGTCACGTCTCACATTTTATATTTGTACTGGATGCATTCTTGAAAAGGAAATTGCTTTTTTAGTTATCGATTTGGGCCTCCACGATCGCTGTCTTAACAGCGGGCCCAGATTACCCCCACGTCACGTTGAGCCTTTGCCTCGGGGTCCCAACGCCCCTTCATCTGGCACAATAGTTGTAATGATTTTTAAAATAGCACTTATGTCACATGCGTCCGGATATTTCTGATGAATAAATTGTGCCGGGGCTGATGAGCTGAATTAGCTGATTTGTCAAAGCCAAGAGTATTTTTTTTCGACCTATAATTTTTTATAGTGTCCTTTCCACATTTGCCCCCTTACAATAGTTGTGTTGCTGATGCTGTTTTAACAACGTCAACGTGGGAAATAAAAACGTGGAAAAAAAGACGTCAACCTTGGGGAGCGGTAGTGTCGTAGCGATTAGCGGCGCTGCGGTGCGAACCCAGTGACCCGAGTTCGATTCCTGCTCACGGTGTGTAGTAAACATCGCTACTGGGGAGACAAAGGCGGCCGGGAGTGGTACTGGCCACCAACCCCTTTGTGTGCCATACCGGCCTTCATCGGTGCTCGCAAACAGCACTTGCCCCAAAAGTGTGTTAAGGCTATACGGGGGATCTTTGTCTTCGTTTCTGTGTCGTTGTTTTAATGCGTGCCCGCTGCGCAGGACGGGGCGCCGCTGTCGGAGAGCGGGAAGTTCGTGATGAGCGCCGAAGGCTTCCTCATGGTGCGCGACGTGAACGCGGGCGACGAGGGCCACTACGAGTGCGTGGCGCGCAACTCCGTGGGGCACGCGTCCGCCAGCATGCTGCTCTCCGTCAAGGGTCGGCACGCTGCCCACCACGCGCACCACGAGCAGCAGCACGAGCAGCAGCACGAGCAGCAGCACGAGCAGTAGCAGCACTAGCAGTAGCACCATTAGCAGTAGCAGCACTAGCAGCAGCACGAGCAGTAGCAGCACTAGCAGCAGCACTAGCAGCAGCATGAGCAGTAGCACAATTAGCAGTAGCACCATTAGCAGTAGCACGAGCAGCAGCACTAGCAGTAGCACCTTTAGCCGCACGAGCAGCAGCGGTACAAGCAGCAGCAGCACGAGCAGCAGCAGCATCCTCATCATTACCGTCATCACCCATCCTTAGTACCAGCATGGCCATCATTTTCACCTCTTTGAATACAAACACGGTCATCCTTATCAGCACCTTGAATGTAATCATCATGATGATGGTCATCATCATCATCATGATGATGACCATCATCATTGTTATCAATATCAGCATTGTTATCGGCAGTAGCATTCGCTTATGTGTCAGAATCAACGCTGGCAGCAATATTAGTGTCGTCATCGTCATCACCTTGAATCATCACTATCAATGTCTTCAATGTCATCATTATCACCATTGCACCACCGTCATCATTAGCCTGAAATAATATCACAGTGGAAACGTATCAATAATCATCAGCACCAACGACGAATATCTGATGTGGTCGTGAGCCTCCCCTACGTTGGCTCGGCCCATATGAGTACCTGGTGCAGTGTGTGTAAACATGAATACTGGGGAGACAAAGGCAGCCGGGCTTGCTGCTGCCAACACGTGTCTCAGCAGTCTGCTAAATGCTATACGGGAGATCTTTGTGTTGGTCTTTGGAGGGAGTAAGTGGACTAGGCACTCCCATCGCCGGTGTCTCTCACACAGCTCCAGTAAAACTCCCCACGTGTCACCAGCGGCATCTTCGAACGAGTCCACGCAAACCTGCGTCTTGACACCGGTCACGCACACACGTAACGCGCGTGTGCTGCAGGCGACATTTTCTGGAGCCGTGCCTCGTAAGGCCCCCCTCGGCTCCAGAATCTGGATTCTTTTTTTCTGTAAAGGAGAGAAGAAAAGACACACAACTGCTGGGTGATTCATGGCAGCAGATCCCTTCCAAAAAAAATTGCTCACCAACAGGAGCCTCGGTTCTCTCGCCACTCAGCCGCTCATCATTGTCTCAAACCATTGAGCAGTGACCGTGCCATGCGATGAACACAAATGGATTTAAGCCTCCCGTGTGCCATTTGTATTCGTCACACGTCATTGGTAGGGAGGGAGCTTGTGGATCACACAGGGATAGAGCCTATGGGAAGTTCTCACCTTTTGGGGCAAAGTGGAGCCTCATATTTCACGATACAATCGAGGCTGAATATAAGCACGCCTGGCCTTGGCAGCAAGGCCAGCTGTGATTATATCCGGAGTAGCGTCCTTGTACCAGAAGTCGTCCTTTACATTTCCCCCACCAGGCTAATTTAAGTACGTGTTGCTTATATCAGGACTGTGCTCATATAAGGTGTAAATATATCCGGATTCCACTCATTGTGGAGGTGTCTGGGTGCCACAGGGGCCGATTCATCTGTTAGGCCATGAAGCTGCCACTGCTGAGAGTTTAGGTTCAAGTCCAAGTTTCAGCACCCTCCCCACCTCCAGACTGTACTAGGTTCAAGTAGAGATATCAGCACCTCCCCAGACTGGACCAGGTTCAAGTCCAAGTTTCAGCACCCTCCCACCTCCAGACTGTACTAGGTTCAAGTCGAGATATCAGCACCTCCCCAGACTGGACCAGGTTCAAGTCCAAGTTTCAGCACCCTCCCACCTCCAGACTGTACTAGGTTCAAGTCGAGGTATCAGCACCTCCCCAGACTGGACTAGGTTCAAGTCCAAGTTTCAGTAACCCCCTCCCACCGCCCTCAGACTGGACCAGGCTCTCAATCATCGTGAGTTGATGGCCTCAACCCATTGACCGATGACCGTGGCAAAGAAAACTCAATAAAACGTGGTTGTGTATTAATTGTGGATGAATCTCAACTCTGAAGACGAAAAGTGAGCACCTCAATAGCAGGGCACGGTGAGGTGGTGCAACACCACCCAGTGTGGATAAGAGGCGATTGAAGAGACCTCAAGGAGTTCCATTGTTAAGTGATGTGATCTTGCCAAGACCGGTCTCTGACGTGGGTTGATGCGGCGCTACTGTCTGTGAGTGCTCTGAACGGGAAGCTAGATGTCTCACGACAAAGCCACGGACAGAATAATTTAAATATAATTATAATTCTAGAAAGCCAATTATAATTCTAGAATTATAATTAGAGAATTATAATTACGTACGGTGCAAAAGAAGTTCAACATTTCTACAAATAGATTTTTTCCCCATGACGATTGTACAAATGATTCACAACATGCGGTGGCGACAGAGTTATAAAACCCAATACACAGGTGCAGTGGCGAGTTCTTAGGTGGTGTAACTGTGCAGGGGCCTACGAGCCAGACAAGCCTAAGCGCCGGGATACAGAGAGTAGGGAAATTTGATGTGGGTGGCATTTTATTCATTTAATTCCTTGCCCCCGGACCCATAAACGAAAACAAACTTTTTAAATTTTACCAGGTAAGGCCCACTGAGCTATATAGCTCTTTGTCAATGATAGCTCAACGAAGTGGCTTGTGTGGAAATGTACAGAAGCCAAATACTTTTCGATTTAAAGCTTTCGTGACTGCAGGGATTCATATTCTTGGTTCTTTCGGTAAAGTCACGTAGAAGGGAAATAATAAAATAATAAAATAAAACAATTCTCACGACGTTTCGATTGCAACACAAGCAATCATCATCAGGTGTGAAAACCACACCAATAATTAACAAAAAAACCGCCACTTTTTTCAAAAAAATTCTTGCTGTGGGTTTCACACCTGATGATGATTGCTTGTGTTGGAATCGAAACGTCGTGAGAATGTAATTGTTTAATTCTTATTATTTTATTATTTCCCTTCTACGTGACTTTACCGAAGGAACAAAGAATATGAAGCCAAATACTCTCAACGCCCATACCACCCGCACCGTGTCACTGGTTTTGTTTGACGCTCGGATGGTCAAGAATGAGCACCGCTCGTCACGCTCGCCGCGCTCTGTCCCCCGTGTGCCGCAGTTCCTGAGGCGGTGCGCTCGGGGGACTCGTTCGTGGAGGAGTCCCTGAAGGAGGCGATCCGGAGCGTGAACAGTGCCATCAACTCCACCCAGCGCGAGCTGTTTGACAAGTGAGGTGGCTCCCTGCCCGGTCTACACCGGCCGGCTTCAGTCCACGTGCATTTAGAGACACGCAGTTACATGAGGACCTCCGTACGTGGGTTGCCACCTTTACCATTTTAGACCACACCCAGACACAAATACAAGTTTATCAGCCAGCCGAGGTCTACAGTATTATCAAAACTGCGCAGTGTAGTATTCTAAAGTTCACACAATACCGTTACCAGATCTCGGTACAAATCAATTCCCACCACCCAAACACGGAAACCAATTCACGGACCATCCTGGGAAAACCAGGACATGTGGCAATGCTGTCACCAGGGGTCATGGAGATTATTTGGCGAAGGTGCGGGATGTGGGAGCATAGAATTACAGTGCAATAATGGATTTTTATTCACTGTCCCCACGTAGACCCGTAGCCGTTAACAAGTTGTATTCGTGGCGGTCACCTCTTCAATGATCCTCCAGGCTGTAACCTTGCTTGCTTTTCAATATCTGATGAGATCCTGCAAAAGTTCTGGGCAATGTGTGCAAAGGCCAGCGAAATAAACGGGAGTAATCTTGTCCGTTTTCTCATGAATGAAGGCCTCTCAATGCAGTGCGGGGTGGTGAGGGTAATTTGACCATACGCCACCATTGCTGGTCAGTGTGTGAGGTGAAGAAGGAGAGGACTGACTCCAGATATCACTGACGACAGCCGTGGCTGGGAATTGAACTCAGGTCACCGGGTTCACCGCGCAGTGTTGGGGTGAGCAGTGACGTAGCTAGCGGTTTCGTGCATTCCGCAATAAAAATATATTTATTTGCATCGAGTTATATTTGTTGAGCCTGTCCACAAACTACGACAAGCGCTGGTGGCTTTAATAATTAATTCCGTGAACAGAAATATTTAAGAAGAGATTTGTCACTTTTGTTTTTGATGACATGTTATATGTATTAATGAAGCCCATAAGAAAGTCTGCAATCGATGATATAAAAAAAATACTAACAACATTCAGTGTTGCGTATGAGAAAAACAAATTTTCACGAGATCGGTAACTTTGACTGGCTGCCCAGTGCTTACCCAGAGTTCACCTGACTTGCCCTGCAAATGCCGCCGTGTGAGCTCGAGCAGCACGGCGTGTTCTGTATTTCACGCTGGCGGGAGCCCCGTTGCAATTCGACGTCAAATAAATTACTATTGGGCCCCCGCGGATATCTCCTTACCCCCCCCACCCACCCCCCACCACCACGTGGCTGCCCCCCTCTCTCGAGCACGCACTTCCTCAATGGCACACACAGTGATCCACCCCGCCGTACGACTCCACGCAATGGGACCCGTGCCGCGCACCAGGCTTATCGTAAACGGTAGAGCGGGTTACAAGGTAGTATATTCTTAGGTTTTTTCGGTAAAGTCACGTAGGTAAAAATTTAAATTAATAAAAGTAAAATAAATATTAAATAAAAATCACGACGTTTCGGAGGCAACACAAGCTTCCGTCTTCAGGTGGAACCATCACAGCACGATAGCTGTATCAAGGTAGTAGTGCTGGGGCTGATGAGCTGAATTCGTTTAATTATCGGGTATTTTTTTGTTAATGTTTTAATTGTTTCAACTTTGCGTGATCTACATATCTTATGTTTTCAATTGGCACCTCATTCGTTGAAATTGGTGGAGCGCTCTAGAATGAGTTCTTCAGACAAGCGAATAATGAATTGGCGTCATGCAATACATTATTCGATCAAGAAAACTAGATGGGCATCTAAAGAAGTGAAACTCACTCTCTCAATGAATAAGTCGAGAGCATGCCCTCTGCACACGTGTGTCCCTCCACGTGAAAACATACACTTCCCATCAGCTGTAGGGTCTTCTCGCAGTGCATCATTTCAGTCGCATTGGTTTAAAACTCGCAAACTCTGAACTGCTCTCGGCGTTCATTGTGCCATCAGCGGAGTCAGGCTTCCTTCATCCCTGGTGAAATGCCACATTGCTAGAGGTAAGCACCCTCTCTGTTAAATATGGGTCCTAGTTTGATAAAAACCTAAATATTAATCGTAACAATCATTGAGTTATTTCACTGAAACACAGAATCTGCAGCTTTTTCAAACAAACCTGCATAGGTTTTGTTTTGGTTGTGTTCTCTGTTGCTGTCCGGACGGGAGTTTCTGACAGTAACAATTGTTATGTACTCAAGAAAGCCTCGGTGAGTCCCAAGACTACTTTTCAGGAGATTCCTGCATTGGGATGTTTGTCAACTTGCATACGTGTCTTTACGTGGGAGGAAACTGGAGTAAGCTCCAACCTCGTTGAAACTACAACACCTGGCAAGCCCCGGCGGGGTCACCTATCCGAGTGCCAACCCCGCTCAACCCTGCTCAGTGTCCCATGAGTTTGGGCGCATTTAGCTTGATTTTGTCGCAGACGATAGATTGCCTTTTCACAATCGACTGACAGATCGTTCTCTCCCAAGTAACTTTACGCACCAAATGTGACCGCCAACGATTGACGGCATTGCATTGGAATCAACGGACTGCTGCCTTTAGCAGCCAAATCGCAAGCGACGAATCGCGGCTCTGCGTCTTAAACTCGACGGCGCAGCTTTCGTGACTGCAGGGATTCATCTTCTTGGTTCTTTCAGTAAAGTCACGTAGAAGGGGACGCTGTCTTTCCGACAGACCTGTTCTTCACCTGAGGACGGCTGCTTGCGTTGTGGCCGAAACGTCGTGAGAATTGTATTTTATTATGTTTAATTTATATTATTTTATTATTTCCCTTCTACGTGACTTTACCGAAAGAACCAAGAAGAGAAAAAGAATCAGGAGGTCGTCAATCAGGAGGTCGTCAATCAGGTCGAATTTCGGCGACAACTCGGGGGTAATGGTGGTGGTGGTGGGAGCGGGGGGAGGGGGGAGTTCCAACGGCGGCATTGAAACTTCGCAGTCGCACGGTCGGTTGTGAAGCGGCACGCGGAAAACTCGACGAGAAACCTGCTGTGAACTTGGAGAACGTTATTGCTTGAAGAAGAAAAAAAGAAAACTCGCGCGCAACAAAAAAAAACCCCACTGCGGCCGAGCTGTTTCTGAAAATGCCAAGAGTTCTCGAAACACGAGGGGGCAAAAAAAGAAAACTTTGACGAAACACGGCACGCTGTTGGTGGTGACTCACAATGATGTCACGATGTCAGCGCTCGCAACGCGTCGAGCAGGACAGGGTGAAATGGCTCGGGGGGAGGGGGGGGAGAAAACATTACATCAGGGAGAATGTATTTTCTGGCAGAAAAATGTAAGGAGGAGGAGGGTGAGGAGGGGGGGGGTGCTCTGGCGATGGTGTTGTGTTTCGTTTGGGAACGCGGCGGTGCAGCGATTCTTCATGCAGCCGGCGGGACTTTCACCGTGACCCCCATTGTCGGCTTCCGCGTGTTTGCCTTGGCCTAATTAGGGATGTTATTCCCAAAACAATATGTATCTTACGGCATATGGTGAACGGTTGGGCGTGAATGGAAATCCTGGCTCGTCCTACAGATGCACTTCATTTTTTTGCGGCTTTTAGTTTTTGCTTGTTGTTTGAGGCATTTGTAAAAGTTAACGGGGTGCGGTGAATACCTGCCAAACGTGCGTCCTCTGCACATCACAGGCAGCGCATGTGATGTGCAGCGGACGCACGTTTGGCAAGCAAAGCGCGACGGAACACAAACGTGTTTAATCTTGCAAAATGTTCTTGCTGTGATTTTCACACCTGATGACGATTGCTTGTGTTGCAATGGAAACGTCGTGAGAATTTTATTGTTTTATTTTTATTATTTTATTATTTCCCTTCTACGTGACTTTACCGAAAGAACCAAGAATATGTCGTGAGAATTGTTTTATTGTTATTATTTTATTATTTCCCTTCTACGTGACTTTACCGAAAGAAGCAAGAATATGAATCCCTGCAGTCACGAAAGCTTTAAATCGAAATTTAGATCCATTCGTTTCTTTGGCCATGTCTGTCCAAGCACGAAGCTGCTAATTAGCAAATTTTCTGCATTGAAATGTCTGCAATTAGACAATCAACTCCATTGCATGTTATTATCTTTGTTGATATATCGTAATGTCTTTTAAACTCCCAGTGTTCGGGAACAGTGATGATTGAACTAGTTTTTGTTGCAGTGTTTCAGTGTTGTCTCTTTTAAAAGAACGGAGAAAATATTTTTTTCAGCAGGGATCCCGTGGACCCCAATGTGGCCGCAGACTTCCGTGTAGGAGCTCAAAGACAGGATAAAAGTTGTCCACAGCAGTCTGCAAAGTGTCAAATTGTTGTGATTTGGGGGGAGGGGGGGTCACAACGTAATCCCAGAAGCCATTAATTAATATTGTTTATCTCGGTATATCACTTTTTCATCTGTAGTCTCTTGTTTGTTCTGAGTCAATATTCACATTTTTTTGTTCATTCCAGTAGCCTGAATGTGACGTTTGCTCGCGTGATTTGTAATGACGAATTCACTGCTCGCCGACGTTTTGTTATTTTCCAGTCCTCTCATTGAGGTATCTGCTGTCCTGGGGAAGCTGTCAGTCTACCTCGGGACATAACAGCCAATCCTTGTACACGGAGTTCTTTCCTCTACTGCCACAACGAGACATTCTTCTTCCCACGATACGTCCCGGTTTGTTGGTGCCTCGGCAACCCTACCGCTCTCGTGCGAATCTTGCCAACGGCCACCACGTCGCGATCGCGGTGCGCTGCGTCTCGGAGGCGAGCGTACTGACGATCGACTCGTCTCGTCGACGCGACGCTCAACGCTCGGCACGCGCCGCGAGGACGACCGAGTGAGTGTCCCTCCACGCCGCCTATCCCTCCGTCTCTCACCCCCCTCCCCTTTCACCTCCTCCTCCGCAGGCGTCCGCGCACGGCGGGAGACCTGCTGGCGCTGTTCCGCTACCCGCGCGACCCCGACACGCTGGAGCAGGTGCGCGCCGCCGAGATCTTCGAGCGCACGCTGCAGCTCGTGCACGAGCACGTGCGCGCCGGCCTCACCGTCGACCTCAACGGCACGGGTACGTCGGCGCCGGCGCCGTGGCGGCGGACTGGGTTCCCAAGGGGATTCGCGCGGACGCTTTGTTTGTTAAACCGGTGGAGGAAGCGATGTCGCGTTCGCGCGTCGTTGTTGGCTGTGTGAACGGCGTTAAAATTGTAAGTGACGGCGAGGCTCCTCTTGCCTGTGTCGATGTTGGTTTGGTGAAATCGGCGAACGTCACCGCCTGTGGCACGTGGGTCAGAGATGCACACTGAGAATTACACTGAGTTGCGGAAAAAGGAACACGTGGATCAGAGAGCATACACAAGTTACAGACTATTGACTCTCAAGGGGAGGTTGCTTGGGCAAGACATGTCGCTAGAAGAGACGATGGCCATTCGCTGAGAATAATCGCCTTTTGTCAGCCAAGGGAAAGAGATGGAGCGACATAATCTGCTCGTAGGCATGTACTTGGTGGTTTTTACACGACGCTAAGATGGATTGGGGAGGCCTTCATCCAGCTGGCTATGGCAATACTGATCATTCGCATAAATGTACAGCTCTTAGTCCATCCACCGCTGGATGAAGGCCTCTCCGATTGTGAGCATTGCAGAGTTTTGCAGTTCGAATTCGGATTTGATTACCATAATTATTAACAATGCGTAATAAAGGTCGTTGAGGCGACTTCCGGAATCCATCTTTTATTCAACTTGTATTACAGCTTTCCTTCACGCTGCTGACAGGCAGCGTGAGAGGGACAGATAGAGAGAGAGACGCACCGCCACGTGGCAACCCGGAGCCCTGCTCCCACGTGGCCCCCTTCCTCTGTTTGTTCCCATTCTGACCACGTGTCATTTGTCTCCACCCCTATTTAATACCCGGGTCACGTGGTACGTTTCCACCGATCCTGGTTTGCCTCCATGGAATATTCCAGGTTCCCTCGTAAGCTCCCGGGACCACGCCCCTGATTCATCTCCCCATTGGCTGTGGCCAAAGCAAGCAGAACCAATCCTCTACTTACAGCTGTCACCTTTCCATTACGTCAGGGCCACGCCCCTCGGCTTCCCCCCATTGGCTATAGACCAGGACCGGCAGAGCCAATCCTCATGACGAGTTGTGATACGTCAGTTAGCCAGATATATTCTCACATTACAAATGCATTAACATTAAATAGGCATGCACCCTCTGCTTCACAGTGGACTTAGAGATCCCATGATGTTATTCAAACAAAAGTAGATCAATGTCAGCCGGTGCCATGGTCCAAATTGGCCAAAATATGAAAAATCACCTGCAAATTACTCAATTGCAATTATTGATCATCAGCCCCCATCTCCCCAAGGACTGGCAAGCTAATGGCCACGTGCAGGCGTGTGCTGCGTTACCCTGCGCCGCACAGATGACCACTGTCGCTCGGAGTGCCCTTCGAATGTTCGAGGCGAGACGTGAGTTTTTCCAGGGGAGGGGGCTGCTTAATCGACGCCGTACGGACGCGTAGACGATCATTCACGAACCGCCCCCACCCCCTCCGCGCGCAGGCTTCCGCTACAACGACCTGGTGTCCCCGCGCTACCTGGAGCTCATCGCCAACTTGTCGGGCTGCACGGCGCACCGCCGCACGCCCAGCTGCTCGGACGCGTGCTTCCACCAGCGCTACCGCACCGTGGACGGCAGCTGCAACAACCTGCAGCACCCGATGTGGGGCGCGTCGCTCACGGCCTTCGCGCGCCTCGTGGAGCCGGCCTACGAGAATGGCTTCAACGAGCCGCGGGGGGGCGGCGCCTCGGGCCGGGGGCGGCCGCACAGCGGCTTCCCGCTGCCGACGCCGCGCCGCGTCTCGGCCGAGCTGGTGGGCACTGAGAAGATCACGCCGGACGAGCGGCACACGCACATGCTCATGCAGTGGGGCCAGTTCCTGGACCACGACATGGACCTGACGGTGGTGTCGCCGAGCCAGGCGCGCTTCTCGGACGGCGAGCCGTGCGCCCGCGCCTGCACCGACGACCCGCCGTGCTTCCCCATCGAGCTGCTGCCGGACGACCCCCGCGGGGGTCACCGGAGCGGCGGGGGCGGCGCGGCGGGGCGCTGCATGTTCTTCGTGCGCTCGAGCCCCGTGTGCGGCAGCGGCGCCACGTCGCTGCTCATGAGCTCGGTGCTGCCCCGCGAGCAGATCAACCAGCTGACGTCGTACATCGACGGCTCGAACGTGTACGGCAGCACGGAGCGCGAGGCGGCCGACGTGCGCGACCGCTCGTCGCGCCGCGGCCTGCTGCGCCGCGGCATCGCAGTGGGCGCGGCCGGCAAGCACCTGCTGCCCTTCGCCACGGGCCCCCCGACCGAGTGCATGCGCGACGAGAGGGAGAGCCCCATCCCCTGCTTCCTCGCCGGGGACCAGCGCTCCAACGAGCAGCTGGGACTCACCTCCATGCACACGCTGTGGATGCGCGAGCACAACCGCATCGCCGCTGGGCTGCTTAAGGTGTGACGCGCGTGTGGGGGGAAGTGGGGGGGGGGGGGCACGGCAGGTGTCGCCCCCACCTCCTCCTCCGATCTCCGCTACCCCCCAATCGTGGTGGTGGTGGTGTTGCGGGCAGGTTTCATCGCTGCCCTCAATGCTCTGTTATTGTCTTGTCGATGTTGTTATCCTTATTGTTGTTGTCACCTTGGTTATAATCAACATTGTCATTGTCGTTCATTGCTGCCGTTATCAGTGTTCCCGTTGTCGTCATCGTTGATTGTCATGGGGTCAATTATTGTTCTTGGCAGGATCATCATCACCGCCATTGTCATAATCCCCCAGATATTAAATATTGGCTTGCAGTAGTTTTTGTCACAGGGCCATCTATTTTTTGGCATCACTGCAGTATTACAAATACAGTCATTTGGATTTACATGCTTTCGACATGTAACAGCGTCTCGAGACGCGGCGCAGTCCTCAGCCCACGCGTCTCATCTCACCCCCTCGCGCGGCGGATTCATGCTCCCATTCCTCCCCCCCCCGCCTCCCCCCGCCTCCACCCTCGTGCGACTCCGCCAGCTCAACCCGCACTGGGACGGTGACACCATCTTCCACGAGTCGCGCAAGATCGTCGGCGCGCAGATGCAGCACATCACCTACGCGCACTGGCTGCCCAAGGTGCTGGGCGCCGACGCCATGCGCTCCGGGCTAAGGCCCTACGCGGGCTACGACCCCTCCGTGAACTCGGCCATCTTCAACGCCTTCGCCACGGCCGCCTTCCGCTTCGGCCACACGCTCATCAACCCCGTGCTGCTGCGCCTCAACGAGTCCTTCCAGCCCATCCCCGAGGGCCACCTGCCGCTCCACCGAGCCTTCTTCTCGCCATTCCGCCTCGTCAACGAGGGCGGCATCGACCCGCTGCTGCGCGGCCTCTTCGCCACGCCCGCCAAGAAGCGCGTGCCCTCCGAGATGCTCAACCTGGAGCTGACGGAGAAGCTGTTCCACATGGCGCACAGCGTGGCGCTCGACCTCGCCTCCATGAACGTGCAGCGCGGCCGCGAGCACGGCCTGCCCTCCTACGCCGCCTACCGCCAGTTCTGCAACCTCACGGCGGCCGTCGACTTCGAGGGGCTGAGCGGAGAGATCCGCGACCCCGTGGTCAGGGAGAAGATGCGCAAGTGAGAGATGCCGCCGCCGCTGCTGTTGTTTGCTTGTTCGTTGGTTCGTTTCGGCACGAACGAGATAATGCGCTGGCTGTGTCTGTCCGTTGGGTGTGGGGGGGGGCGGGCAGCAGTGGGTTGCTATGAGGGACGTAGCCTATTGAAAACAAATCAAAACTGATCTCAAAGTTGGCCAAAACTTAACATGAACCAGAGCAAAAGGGACTACTTTCATATGTACACACGGACTTTTTTTTTCTGAAAGCGATTTCCGTACTGCGAAATAAATACTTCCAAACGCATGCTGGAAAGTGTTACATAATCCGTTGGATTTATGTTTGTTTAAAAAATGTGCAGGTGGTGCGATTGCACGGTGGCCCATAGGCTCGACGAGTTGGGGAGCCGGGCTACAAAGAAGGGGGAAATTGAACAGCCTGGTGCCATTTCATTCCTTGCACGGGGGACTATACAAACGACGCTACTTCACTGAAACCACCATCCAGGGTTTCCACCTGTCCTGGTTTTCTCAGGATCGTCCTCTTTTTGGGGTTGCGGACATTTTTCCTGGGAAATCCATAAGTCCCGGCGAGACTTTAAACGTCGCGTAATCGTACACCGCTCACGACAGCGCATCGAATGTAATTCTCTCCCCTGCCCGGCATTTGCGAGACATTCTCCCTCCCGTGATACGTCGCGTTTTCTTTGTTTGTTCGCACGTTGGAGGCGACAAACCGCACCGCCGTCCCCACTTCCCCCGCAGCCTTCGTCGCCCTCGCGCGGCGATCGGGGCCGACGGCGGTCCGCGTCGTGGCGAGGCGCGCGACCCCAATTGTGTCTCTCCCTGCTCAGGCTCTACGGGACCCCCGAGAACATTGACCTGTGGCCAGCCCTGATCGCGGAGGACGTGATTCCGGGATCGCTGGTGGGGCCCACCCTCCTGTGCCTCTTCACGGAGCAGTTTCGCCGTCTCAGGGATGGGGACAGGTACAGCGGGGACGGTGCGGTGGTTGGCGGTGGTGGGAAATGGTGGATGGGTGCTTAGTGCTAGACATCGCTTGTTTTAGTCGACGGTGATGAGCACGGTCGGCTACGTACGGTGCGAAAGAAGTTCAACATATGTACAGGTGATTCGCTGATGATGATGATGGGTTCGGTCACATCTGAGTGAACCCGGGTTCTCAAGTTCAATGGATGGATGGTCCCAGCTCAAAGTTATCTATGACTGTGAATAAACCATCGCATTCAAATAGTTCTGACTTAATTTGGCTAAATTACAACGATGAGAAATAAAAATATCACTTTCACTATCATGGGACAAACAGTATTCTCAGTGGCAGAGCGGTTGGGTGTGTTGAACAGAGATTACTTGGCAGGATCTCAGAGGTAGTTCTATGATATCCACTGCCGTGGGCAATTGTCACCTCCGATAAGCACGTTTGGCTACGTGTGGTGTGAAATAAGTTCAACATGCGTTGCCTAGCACAAAACGTTGTGTTGCTTTGAGAGATCCGCATTGATTCTTTGCCTCATTATGTGACCCCGAGAGTACATGCAGGATAAATGTGTGGAAAAACTAAGAAAGAAATTATAAAAAGCTCGTGTTACTAAACTGAGTTGAATTAAACCAGGATGCTGAGACATAGCACTCTGGTTACATTTAGAATGTTTCCATTTCAATTTCGGCCATGGGATGTCTGAATTCATCTTTCATTCTGGAGTCCATAAAATTAATACCACATTGGTTCGCTGCTGTGTCGAGAGACGAGCTCCTGCTATAGGAATGTGGAATCCCTACCTCTGAATTGGAACTGCTAACAGAGGCGAGCATCACAAGATGTTTTTTTTGGGCACTGAGACACTAACGTGGTGCTGGAAACTGCTGAAACACGTGTTGTGAACCGGGGCCTTCGACTTTTTGCGGTAATATTAAACTCTCCAAAGTAAACCACAACCACATGCATTTTGGAAAACAACAACTTTTGGCCGCAGCTGCTATAGTTAAGGGGCCAGAGCATAATAAACTGATGCCACCTGCGGTACAAAAAAACAAGTTGCGGCACCGATATCTCTAAATGTATCCTGCCATTATCCCCACTCACTCAGGGCTTTCCTTCCTTAACCTCTTCGCTCATTCCTATCCCGGGCCTACTTTTCCACATCCGCTCCGCCAACACAGCCCCCCATCTCCTGGTTCGACACCCGGGAAGCATCCTTACACCAGCGATCCTCGTCTTCGTGTGTGCGTGCGTCAGGTTCTGGTACGAGAACCCGGGAGTGTTCTCCCCAGCGCAGCTCACGCAGATCCACCAGAGCTCGCTGTCGCGCGTGCTCTGCGACAACGGCGACGCCATCACGCTGGTGCCGCCCGACGCGTTCGCCGTGTCCGCGTACCCGCAGGGCTACGTGGCCTGCGGCACCCTGCCCAGCGTCGACCTGCGCATGTGGCAGGACTGCTGCCAAGGTAGGTGTCGCGTGGTGGAGAGACTTTTGACTTTGAAACTACTTTTATTGCCGCCAGCAGCAAAAGCACTGGAGGCGATTTCAATATGAAACACACAAAGTCACCAGCAAACAAAAGAAAATTAACACTACAAATCGATGCACTGTGGCGCTAAAAGCTCCGCGCACAATACAAAAGAAAAGTCACGTGGTTGTGGTGTCATCGCGCACGCCACGGTGACGAGCGAGCGCTTCAGAAGGTGAGAGAGGATTGACCCCAGCGTCGTCGCGTCGTGTAGCAGAAAATCGGGCGGTGCGAAGTGAGCCGACACCTGCTTTGTGTGTGTGTGTTGAACTTTTTTTGCACCGTATGTAGCCTACCGTGCCAATCGGAGTTGCGTAGCGAGTCATGTTTGGAACAAACGCGGGTTTTCTCAGGGTGCTCCGGTTTTCTCCCACACGGACGAAGTTGGAGAAACATCCCAAATTAAGTTGTTGGCTGCCTTCCCACCCGTCTGTGGTTTCCCCTAGGAAACCGTGCACAGTACAAATTAAAACCTTTAAATGGACGTATGATTTTAAGCCTTTACGACATATGATCAGTTGTCTTTAGCTGGAAGGAACACTAATGCTCGTAATCGTGATCTAAAGTGAACTAAGCATCCATGTAAAGTTGTGTTCCCATGATGAACTTACGCTACATGGACGTGCTGCTTCCTTCACACTTGCTGCTCGCATTATTATCAACTCGAGTTAAATCCTTCCGAGAACAAACGCGTGGCGGAAAGCTTTACACAGTCAACGCATATGCATGATTTTTCTTCCTTCTGTTCAGAGTGCTAAGTTGTCTTCTTGGGGGAGGGCATGGTTGCTAGACTCATGGGGAGGAGAGGGTCCGGTTGGGGTTAGGTTTAGCGATACGCAAAGGGCTGATGGCGATGAGTGGCCTTCATGAAGCTTTGTCTCTTCCACGGTTTCCCCACGGTCTGAAACTCCCCCCAGCCTCTTGTGCTGTCGACCCCCTGTCCCTGTTCCAGTCCAGGCTCCAGGCCCTCCCCCCCCTCTGACTGCCTCATTCTCGCTATAAAATAAATATCACCACTAACTCTGTACAGCGCCTAGAGATGCAGCCGCATTTGGAAGTTCTGTGAGCCGGCATCGCTACACCGTAGCCACGCCAGTGCCGCGTGGCGTCTCCCAGGGGGTTGGCTCCGATTCGGACGGGCTCCGTCTGGGGCGGCTCATGATCGTGGAGGAGTTGGAGCCACCCCGAGCGCTCACGGCGGCCCCTTTGGCACGAGGCGTTGAAATGGTCTCCCCTTGCCTCCAGTTTGGCAGGTCGCAGCAAAGGCCGTGCTTTTGAATTCGATGCAGTCTTGGTGGGTTCTCACCTGGTCGAATCGAGATTACCGACTACACGGCTTCGCAACAATCGTAAAATGGCACGTAACATGATGAAATAAAGAGTGCGGTTGTTCTTGTTAAAACTGGTGGTGTAGTCATGGTGACAGAGCAGGTGGTAGTGGTCAAGGAGGGGTTGGGGTAGTGATAGGGGTTGGGGTAGTGATAAGGTAAGGGTAGCGATAGGGGAAGTGATAGGGGTAGGGGTAGTGATAGGGGTAGGTGTAGTGATAGGGGTAGGGGTAATGATAGGGGTAGGGGTAGTGATAGGGGTAATGATAGGGGTAGTGATAGAGGTAGGGGTAGTGATAGGGGTTGGGGTAGTGATAAGGATAGTGATGGGGGTTGTTTTAAGGGAGGAACTGAAGCAGGTTCGTGAAGGTTATTTTTTTATGTGAAGTTGGAGCATAAACAGACACATTTAAACATCTCTTCACATAAAGATAGAATATAAAATATTAAATATGTTCTCGTCCATAGCCCTATTGACTTTCTGGACCAATGCGTGTCATTAGCATCCATTCAAGGCAAGCCCTGGACCGGGTTTAACCTTCTGGGTCTCATCAGCAGACGCACACCTGCTGAACACACAATTACGGGCTGCCAGATGTCATTGGCAAGAGCACGCAATGAAAGCATTTGGGTATGTTAAGTGCAAATCAATTTAGTATAATACTCAGCAGGCACTTGTCATAGAGCATTATGGGGGTCTATGTTTAAAGCTATTGCTTTAACATGATCCTTGGCAATTAAATATGGCTATTCTCAACTTTACTGCATATGCCAGGAAGCTAAACAAATGAATATTTGTCTTGAAATGTCATTGTTGTTCCTTAGTATTTCCACAGTGGTCTCGGTGGTTATTAATGCTGGTTGTGTGCGCGGCCAAAGGCAGCGATCACCTCCGCGTAGGCTTTCGCGACGCTGCTCCGTGACTCTCCGTTGGCTGTTTGAATTCTGACGTTTCGCTGCGTGGGCTTCGGAGTGAAACGTCGGACATCGTGCTGAACAACACGAGGCAAAATGTCTCCCCGTTCAGCCTCGCTGGACTGTCGTGGTCAGCGCTGGTCACTTGATTAGCTCAGCCTCTTGGAATTTCCACCGCCAGGCTCGGCGACCACCAATGGCGATGAGCGACGCCCAGCGCTCATTTTCCGAGCACGGGGAAAGTCATTCATCTTTTGATTGGAAAAAAACACAAAGCTCTTTTGTCGATCTCAAATTGCGACCCCACTGCACATTCCGATTCGAGGAGATGCTTGTATAACGCAAAGGTCAGCGGATTTTTCCACCCGCCCCCCCCCTTTTTTGGTTTCTCCCCAAGGCGCACATTTGCGTGATTCGCGTTAAGTGCCCCAACGGCAACAGCAGCAGCAAAAGAAACAAGAGGTAAATAAGCGGCGCTTGAAGAAAGTGCGTCATCGGTGGGCACTTTACGGTCTCGGGGTGGAACACAATGGGGGGGGGGGCTTTTTTAAGTTTTGGCTCCGAAAAGCGCCGTTGCTTCCATCCCCTGGAGGAACGGAGCCCTGGCAAAGTTTGTGCCCGTGAGCTGATAAGTGCCGGCTGTCACTGCCGTTTAAGATTGAGCGGTCGAGCGTGGCGTGCAAAACGTTGAGTTTCTTTCCTTGAAATGAAACGCAGAAACGCGCATGTCAGTTTGAATACTGTAAAATGTTTTTTTTTAAAGAACGATTACACTGTAAATGCAAACACACTCGCGTGGAGTGCGTTAGCGGAGACACACATCTCTTGTTCAGCGTTTTAGACTGTTGTGGCAAGCGCTGTTAGCGAGCAGCCATGAAAAATGATGACCAACCCGTATCGATGCGCGTGAGAATTGAACCTCACAAAAAGTGAAACGGAACTCCAGACAAAGGGATGTGGTGTTGAGGAATCCTGAGACAGATTCAAATCTGACGGACTGTTAGGTAATCTCCACAGTGCAAACGGCTCGAATTATGACAGCCTCTTGAAAGCCATTTGGGCGCACATACCACCACCAGTGCGTTATCTGAATTCCTGGCTTGAGTGCGTTGCAGATGAACAGTCCTCACTCAACCTTCAATTATAAGCTTGCCCATGGTGGGCAGGTTTTATGGTGCAGGGCGTTCTAGAATTTTGCCGAACACGTTTGGTTCTCTGCTTCAGCTCACCCACAACAGACGGTTGGGACGAGTACAGCGCACGAGGGGGTGGGTGGCCAGCACCATACCTAGCCGCCTTTGTCTCCTGAGTGGCAATATTTACACACTCCACCAGGGTTCATCCAAGGGAGCCCAGGACTGGTTCAGATACTTATCACTGGTGTTGGTTGTGAGCGAAAATCGAACTCGGTTCGCTCGGTTTGTAGCGCGGCACATTAACCGGTGGACTACCGCTCATAAAACCACAGACACACACCTATTATTTGATCATTTAGATTGTTGAATTTAATTTGACAGTTATGAAAAGCCAGGCGTGGACGTGTGTTTAGAGTTCAGCGTTGGACTCGCATGAACCCGCATGAAGAGCATCTCATGGGTGACATCATGAATGGTTGATTGAATTTGTTTGACCGTTTGTGTTTGACTCTGTATTGTTTCCCAGGCACAAGGGTAATAATCATACATCATTTACAGCCCTTCGTCAATCCACTGTTGGCTGACGGCCTTTCCACGCCACGTCGGTTGCAAGGGGTTATTTGACCATACTTCACCACACTGGGCATTGGTTCGGACATCACTAGTCAATGATGTTAGCCATGCTCTGCTATTATGATAACGGTGGCAAGTTATTCTTTGCTCATATCCGGATGACCACTTATGTGTATGTGACCCGTGCTATGATGCTGTCCAAAATCCGTTTATTAGTTTTATTGTAATCTAACCTATATAATTCATTTTTTGTCTGTCTGTCTGTCTGTTTGTCCGTCTGCGTACGCTCCCTTCCGGGGGATTTAGCTATCGGACCGTGGGGTTCGCCGAGATTAAATTTTGCAGGTGGGCACGCCCCCGGCCCGCGGTAAACTTAGGCATTTCCGATTTTTCATCTCTAAATTTTAAATCGGACCGATTATCGATTTAGTGCGATTGCTCTTTATTTAGTTACACAATTAGTTATTTATTTAATATTGCCGGTCGGCGCGGACCACGGCGGTTGCCCCTGGCAACGGGTAGCAACAACTTCGCTGCGGGGTGGACGCCATTTTTAATTCCCGTTACAAATATGCGCACGCATTAACACGCGACTCTGAGGTAAATTCATCAAAGTTTCACGTCCTCTTCACTCCCCTTCCACCCCAATGTGTGCAATTACTATTATAGGGTCGGTAGATAATAAAATTATAGCGATTAGACAGTATTATTGTAACATACCAATGAAAATACAACTGTGTAATTAAAATTATAAACCCGACCGCGCCAAGAATCGATTCTCTGAATCGCGAAAAGGAATCGAAGGTTGTAGATTCATTTAGAATCGCCTTATTTCCGTTTAATAAAGTTGGTTATAGAGTTGATATAAACTGCTACGAATGGGAAATATCCGGCGTTGACTGGGGCTAAAATATAATTAAAAACTCCTGAAAACTTTAAAACATAACATAACAATGAAAATAAAACTCTGTAATTAAAAATGGAA